AAAAGATGTTAAAAGATGGTACTTGTTGTTACTCTACCTGGCATTAAGGGGATAAAACGAGAAATGGTCGGCTCTGAGTCTCTTCACTGTGTCTGCGTGGGGTATTTATGTGGAACTGCAGCATGTTATCTCAGTGGGCTAGCACTATGCATCGGCATCAGCATTATATAAATTATTTATTTGCTATTTCAGCCCATCCCCAAAATTGAAGTATGTCAGTAGGAGCCTGTTTTCAAATAAAGATGATATTTAGTTTATCTTTCGACAAAGTAAATGTGGACAATACTGGAATAGTTGTAAGAGCTTTGGTCCAACTCTAGAAAAATATGCCCCCCAAAAATTAAAAGATATAGCAACAATGCACTGTGATTAGATCATGTACAGGTGTAAACATGATCCTGTGGAGATGGAAAAAAACTAAGAACTGCCCTGTTCCCTTTCTACTTTCCTTCAGTATGTTTATGATCTGTAATAGACTGCATCAGAACACCCCGGTTGTCACTGTACCTCGTACGGGGCCAGTAATTGGGTTGGGTGGTCAGACACAGTGACGTGGTGGGTTGCATGTCATTGTACCCGAATGGTGTGATCATTGCTCATAATGTCAAGACCTATGAAGATGTGGGGTAGAAATAGAACAGGTCTTCACCAACCCATGCTTGCCGAAAAAGGCAACTATGCTTGTTGTCAGGCAACTAACAGGATTGGGTGGTCAGGCTCGCAGACTTGGTTGATGTCCGCATCGTATCCCTATTGCGTAGATCGATGCTCATGATATCATTACCTGGTTTGTCTGGTCCAGACTTAATTATTTACAGACTGCTGTCATATACCTGGAATAGAGTGGCGTTAAACAACAAACAAACAAATCATAATGTCAGTCATATGTGGGAGGTGTTTCTTAGCACTACTAGTCCTATGATTGCAAGGCTAGATGACTTTTTGTTGATGTGTGTCCTTTATCTGTCATTGTCTCCATAAGTCCCCATTCATTAATTTACTCACTTCCTCCACAACTGTCAAAGCCTGCTGGCCGCCGAGGCCCCAATCAGGAAAAATGAGTAATGATTACTCAACGCTCATTCTTTACTGTATGTCTCAACACCACTCCCTAAAGGGAGATAACTATCAACCTTTACCTTCTCACCCCTTCTTCCCTCCTCCTCAACACGCCCCCCCCCCCCCCCCCCCCCCCCTCTCTCCCCCCTCTCAATCAGATGTGCCTCAAGCAAGTTACCTGAGCATCAGGCTATGTACAGGTGACACAGATTGTAGAGCAGGTGGATACAGCCAGCATGATATATGTGGATACAGGTGAGTTACGTAACCGCTCTAAATATTCTATGGCTGTATGTCTCACGGAGTGACTCGCTGTCCCCTTTCAATAAATTTAGGGAGGATTGGACAAGAACACTTCAAATATTTCTTAGCGGATTTCAAATTCAGTGTTCATGTGCAGTGTTCCTGATATGGGTAAAGCATGGAAAGGGCAGTAATATGTTAGTGTATCCGATCTAAACCCCCATCCCTACAGCCACCCAGCAGCCCCCACTCCAAGCCTACCCCAACCCCCCACTCCAAGCCTACCCCCAACCCCCCACTCAAATCCTACCCCCAACCCCCGACTCCAAGCCTACCCCCAACCCCCCACTCCAAGCCTACCCCCAACCCCCCACTCCAATCCTACCCCAAACCCCTCCTCTCCAATCCTACCCCAAACCCCTAACCCCCACCTCCAATCCTACCCCCCACCTCCAATCCTACCCCCACTCCAAGCCTACCCCCAACCCCTCCTCTCCAATCCTACCCCAAACCCCTCCCCTCCAATCCCACCTCCAACCCCTAACCTCCAATCCCACCTCCAACCCCTAACCCCACCTCCAATCCTACCCCCACTCCAAGCCTACCCCCAACCCCTCCTCTCCAATCCTACCCCAAACCCCTCCCCTCCAATCCCACCTCCAACCCCTAACCCCCACCTCCAATCCTACCTCCACTCCAAGCCTACCCCCAACCCCTCCTCTCCAATCCTACCCCAAACCCCTCCCCTCCAACCCCTAACCTCCAATCCCACCTCCAACCCCTAACCCCCACCTCCAATCCTACCCCCACTCCAAGCCTACCCCCAACCCCTCCTCTCTAAGCCTACCCCCAACCCCTCCTCTCCAATCCTACCCCAAACCCCTCCCCTCCAATCCCACCTCCAACCCCTAACCCCCACCTCCAATCCTACCTCCACTCCAAGCCTACCCCCAACCCCTCCTCTCCAATCCTACCCCAAACCCCTCCCCTCCAACCCCTAACCTCCAATCCCACCTCCAACCCCTAACCCCCACCTCCAATCCTACCCCCACTCCAAGCCTACCCCCAACCCCTCCTCTCTAAGCCTACCCCCAACCCCTCCTCTCCAAGCCTACCCCCAACCCCTCCTCTCCAATCCTACCCCAAACCCCTCCCCTCCAATCCCACCTCCAACCCGTAACCCCCACCTCCAATCCTACCCCCACTCCAAGCCTACCCCCAATTCCTCCTCTCCAAGCCTACCCCAAACCCCCCACTCCAAGCCTACGACCACCCCCCACTGGTAAATATTGAAAGCCCACCTACTCTTGAAAACTGAAATTAATTTATTCTAGAAACGAATGAACGAATATATTGGTATTCCTTTCTTTGAACAAGACTTCACAAGCAGGTGATGTAGTATATATGCATGAACATGTGGTCACTGTGGTCACTATGGTGTCACAAGTGTGTGACTTAGTGTAGCATCAGAAGCACTTGAGTGGTGTAAAATAATCTGACTGAAGAAAATATTTGTAACATTTTCAGCAAGATTGTGTACCTGTTTTTGAACTGTTTGGATATGGTGCATAATCAGAATGTTACAATGTCAGGCTGATTGTGGTATGACATATAACTGATATCGTTGTTCTTGCTCCGTAATCAACCACTGGGATGTTGACTACGGCTGTATGAAGGCACATTGTGATTATAGATCTAGATAGTAGTCTACCTGTTAGGCTGGGTAGAAGTGACAGATGGTAGTACAGGTCGTCTCACCTCTAGATGCAACCAGCATCATGTGTCGATAAAGGATTAGTGGCGTGTTTTCCTTGGAGTAAAACATCACAATATTTTGAGCTTTTGAAGACACTCGCTCCCAAAGTAAGATTTCTATTGTCTTCTTCTATGTCTCATTGTGTAGCTAAAACTTTGGCTTGAAATGAGTGTATAGTTTTATTGTGGTATTACAGTGAACATTGTTGAATTCATACTCAAACAACTTGGTAAGTTGACCTTAACATATCCTTCCTTTAAAGTGTGACCATGGACTGTAGCTGCTAATGTTTAGTTGCCAGCCCCTGTGGATACAGGTGAGGGCTGTAACCACACTGGTAGATTCCTGAATGTGACGGACATTTCAGTTGTAGGGTTCACAGTTAGTGTTCATGGCCCCTGTCCTGAAAGGATGCTGCAGATGGATTAGTACAGGGCGCTTCTAATATCTTGGGCGCTTCTAATATCTTATTCCACCTGATAATCCTCTTGTTATTCTTATAAATTTATTAGGGCTGGGATGGGTAACTCGGGTACCCGGGTCGGGCGTGTACTGAGTAGGACCCGGGTACCCACAGGACTACCCGGACCCGTCGTTAGTCACGTGATATATTGTCTAATGACTAAAACTATCTAGAACTCTATGGTTACACTACAAGTCATTGATGTTGGCTTTTCTTTCTGACAATGCACCCATTCCTTCTGACTTCAAATTAAAAAAAATGGAAACCAGTGTTTGTTATATCATATATTTGAGTGTCAAATACCCCATGTTTTAACCTGTCATGTAAAACTCACAATGGCATGGTTAAAATGTACCTGTGTCTCCAGGGCAACCATACTAATCACTAGTTTATAAATGAATATACCCTGGGGTGTGTTGATTGTGATAAATATGTCAAGCCGTCAAAAACAGCAAATACAACTATGTATCAATGTTATAAGCATTTTTGTTGTGTTTTAAACATGGTCGCCACCATTTTAAATATGACTGTAAAAAATAATGTGTACTTTCACTGAGTTTTCAAAAACTTTCCTAAACTTGTGTAGTCTCCTTTGGACCATCCATCTTAGGGGGCTTGGCTGGGACTTTTGTGGGAAAAAATTGTTTTAGGTCAATATAATCGCCACTGAAAGAAGCAGCAAAAAAACAGATTTTACACAAAACATTAATTTTGCTTCACGACAACCACCATGTGTAAAACATGAGGAAAACTTTTTTGTTTTTAAGTACTTCTGGAACAAATCCCCCCCCCCCCCCCCCCACACACACACACAAATATAAAATGGTTGGTCCCGAAGGCTGTTCTTGTCCTGGACCAACATTGCCTAACCTCAAACCTCTCAGCCCAGCCCTGACAGATTAGGGTCTAACAACACCCACCAGCCAGTTCACATCATCACCAGGTACAAAGGCCATTAATACTGACCTTTCATAGTGAAAACAGAACGTAAACAATACATGCTGATGTTTGTCGACAACTTTGACAGATGAATCACTACCTTGACAGATGAATCACTACCGTCCCATGAAAACGTTTTTTGTGTCGGTCATGAAATATCATCTTTTGTATGCTCCTGATTATTAATGTTGTCATTAATGAATATATAGCTGTATATTGTTTCAAAAGTTTATTCAGGACTTTTGTGAAGGAAATTACATATTTTCATCATGATTCATAACTACATGGTTTTTGATTATGGTAAGGAAAATAGCACAGATAAGTTAAATGGCACACAATTAGGACATTTAGCCTTTCAGAATTTATGTCAGTGAACTCTTAACCGTATTCCTATTTTGGAGACAATCTGTACACCCCCACAAATAGATGCAGTTGGTGGGGACTGGGGCAGCAAGTTGATACGGTTCATGTACCCCATTGTACTGGCTCCAACACTGATGTAGGACTTGGTGGGAAATACACTGACCTGAGACTGAGAGCAGATTAGGGGTCGGTTGGAGCAGGACTGTGTTGTGACGCCACCTTTGCTTGTACAAGGCCTGGATAGTTGGGTGTAGAGAGCAGATCAGGGTTGGTTGGAGCAGGACTGTGTTGTGACGCCACCTTTGCTTGTAGAAGGCCTGGATAGTTGGGTGTAGAGAGCAGATTAGGGGTTGGTTGGAGCAGGACTGTGTTGTGACGCCACCTTTGCTTGTAGAAGGCCTGGATAGTTGGGTGTAGAGAGCAGATCAGGGTTGGTTGGAGCAGGACTGTGTTGTGACGCCACCTTTGCTTGTAGAAGGCCTGGATAGTTGGGTGTAGAGAGCAGATTAGGGGTTGGTTGGAGCAGGACTGTGTTGTGACGCCACCTTTGCTTGTAGAAGGCCTGGATAGTTGGGTGTAGAGAGCAGATCAGGGTTGGTTGGAGCAGGACTGTGTTGTGACGCCACAGTTGCTTATAGAACGCCTGGATAGTTGGGTGTAGAGAGCAGATCAGGGTTGGTTGGAGCAGGACTGTGTTGTGACGCCACAGTTGCTTATAGAACGCCTGGATAGTTGGGTGTATCTTGTTATCACAAACCATGCCTGTGGAGACTACGCATTGGAACAGGGATACTTTGTTGACGTTTACGCAAATCCGAGGTACTTATTATTCTATTCTGTGAGCTGTTTATTATAAGGTTGTCGGCTGTTTACCTGATCTGGTAAGAATTGCCAGTGTGGTTTGATTTTTGTTGACACTTCTTTTGTTTTAGAAAATATATCATGACAATTTACAGTAAGTGAAACCTCTGTGTTAATCAATATCAGAGTTTGACATTAAGGATGACAGTGAAAAGGATCTTGTCACAGCCCTAATGTAAGTATCATAGATTTAGGGATCCCTACTGTTGACAGGTTCAAATACTATACCAGTCCCGGTGTACCCCAAGACAGTGAAGTTGGGACACTGAGTTATGATCTAATTTATATTTACAGTGAAACCTGGTTACCATGGTTACCTGTTCGTGTTCCCAGTGAAATTGTTTCAGATTTTTGAATGAGTATTGGGCAATACCCTTTGTGTGTATACCACGTGACGTAGTACCGTAAATATCCACAGGGTTTTCAGACTAAGAATGCTTCACTACATCCTACTGGTTGTTTTTTTAAAGGGAGACATTAGATACTTGACTTAGGCTTATGTGATGTTTATTCTATTAAAGTTATGAATCAAATGTTTGTTTCCAGATACTATGTCCTTTCAAAATGTTCAGCCATCTTAGTTCCAGAATTGACTACCATACTTCTATAAATTCTGTCATTGTGTCATCACCTATTTATTGTCTAAGGTCATGTTTAAAAGATCTATGTTATCTTTGCAACTGTAACCATGTGCAACCTGTACAAAAAATAAAAAATAAAAATAAAAATAAATGCATATATTTCCAGATACACACAACACAACTGGCTTATCATCAGACGTCAGTTGTTTCAAATGAGGTCACACATATGGCTGAAATACGAGTGAATTTCAAATTCTTGACAAAAGAATGTCTCTCTGGTTATAACTTTATATTTTCAGTCATTTGTTCATGGTATGATTATGAGGGATATATTTCAACATTTACTGAATTTTGACAATGTCTTCAGATGCTATGGCACAATCCTGTGTTGAGTCATGGTGTAAGTTTACAGTTATCGGAAGGGTAATGAACACCATATATTGTTAGAGCTGTTTTGTCCCAACTTTTCTCACAAAGGGTAGATGTCTCAAATCATGACATGGAGAGATAGGTCAATGCCACTATTTTCCTGTGTATATATTATCATGCTATGTGGGTGGAAGTATCATTTATCATCCCAAACTGGCTCCCACAGGAGATATGGCTTGGGCGAGTTAAGCAATATTGTACAGTATTTATGCAGATTTTACCTGTTTATGTTCATCTTGTGACACTTGAGTAAACTATGTGTGTATAACAGGAGATGCTGTCTGCCCTCAGAAGGACTGTGTATTGAGAACCATTCAACTGTCACTTTGTACCGTCCTTTATTGTCCATGGTGCACTCGCAGCCAGCTGTGTGAGATTGTTTTCTTTGCAGGAGATTGTTATGTTGTGAAAGTTTTTGTTATCTGCACAATGTCAATCTTTGGCTTTATGGATTCTTATGACCCTAAGCTATAGTGGGAAATGCAAAACTTAAAACACATTTTTTTATAATGCTGAATCCAAACTTTTGTGTTCACCACTAACCTTGCTCCAAGGCTGTACTGAAAGGGACAAGTCCATGGATGGTAGTAATTCTATCCTCCTCATAGGTCTCCTCCTCCACAGATAAGTCTTGATATGTGGACTGTAAGGACCCCAGTCTCTTGTAGGGACAGTTTTGTTCTTATTAGTTACATTATCTTGAAATTATAATTTTATGCTAATAATTATTGCCTTATAGACTTGTGCAAGTCTAGTTCTCCACATGCAGAATACAATACATTAAACTGCAGGACTGACAAGACAAGCTTTATTAACACTCAAATAACAAAGAAACAGAACGATGCCTCATGTGTGATTGAGACTTTTTATCTATGTTTTGTTTGTTTGTTGTTTAGCAATATTCAAACTATGATGTCGGTCTGTAAATAATCAGGTCAAGACCAGACAATCCAGTGATTGACATCATGAGTATCGATCCATGCAATTGGGATACGGTGACATGCATCAACCAAGTCAGCGAGCCTGACAATCAAACAACAACAAAATTTAGAAGATTCTATTTAAAAAGTAATTAAATAAATGGTATTACCAGACGTTTTTAATGCATTGACATAACACACCTGTCGAGTTACATGAAATGAAATATTTAACAAGTATGGTATATTTAACATTATCATCCATCATGTCCATAGCTGTCTCCCAAAGGAGATATCGCTTTGTGAGATCAAGCAATATCTACATTTGCAGACCATTGGGACATCATTGGTTACCATGACGTCACAGTCAAATGACATCACTAATACTGTAGTAATAGCTCTGCAACTGAAGGTGCTAGCAGTACTTTTTACACTTAAGACACTGCTTATTATTGTCTACAAACTGAAAAAGTAGGAAGAATGATTTTGGATGATAAATAAAATCTCACCCTCATGGCTTTTGATATCAAATATATCAACACTCGATATATTTATATCAAAAGACTTGGGGGTGAGATTCTCTATTTATTTTTAATATTTTGGAAACCGAAACTGTTTCCAGGGCTGCTCAGTGAAACATTTTTTATTTCCAAATCTTTCTGTGTTTAACTTCACAACGGCTGCTTTCCGTTTTCCTGACAAGCAAAATTGTGGATGAGGAAGGATTTAGGGTTTTAACAATAGTTGGATCTCAATAGATGGTTATAAATTTTTTTATTGACCTCTGCACTTAGTCTGTCTCACAGTCCCTGAACCATTATTTTCCCTTCCGCCCAGCCCTTTCTGTAATTCAAAAGGCCTTATTATGAAGCAAGTCTAGATTTTCCTCTGAATCTCGCATCTCACTGGGTCTCCTTTGTTTTTATCCGAAATATTCATTTTCAGAGACTGAGTGTTAATCTACCCTGCACTCTGCAGACCACTGCATACATCAATCAATCAACATAAGTTTTTATTGACTTCTCCACGTGATGGATGGAATTCCGGGTTAGAAAATAACCCCAGCTACCTCAATGCTTGTTGTAAGAGATGACTAAATCAGGTGATCAGACTTGGTGACTTGGTTGATTCTATTGTATACCCCATTTGTGTGGATCGATGCTCATGATGTCAATCACTGGATTATCTGGCCCAGGTTCGATTATTTACAGACCACTGTCATATTGCTGGAATATTGCTGAGTGCGGCGTTTAACAACAAACAAATCTCCCAAAATGGTGCCTGTCTCCATTTGTGTGTTTTAGTACCCTGATAGGATATTGGCCTTGTAAAGGAGCCATGTCGTCCACCATTGCTGTGTGGTCCTTCTGAAGCTGCTTAAACAGAACCCTGATAACTCGTACAACCAGTTAGTGTCAGTCATCTCCAGAACAGGTGCTTGTTTTCACTGGCGCCGCAATTGCTATCTTGGTCCGTCAATCCTTACGGCCTCACAGCAGTAACACACACACACACTTGGTCTAGTGATCGATTAACAATAGTATGCTTTTTGACTAACGGGATCGGGTGGTCAAGCTCGCTGACTTTGTTGATGCATGTCATATCCCAATTATGTAGATCAATGCTCATGATGTCAATCACTGGATTGTCTTGTCCAGATTCGATTATATAAGACCACCGTCATTTACCTTGAACATTGCTGAGTAGGGCGTTAAGCAACATACAAACATAAAACCTGCTGAGATATTGGCTGGTTTTACTGGTGTGTTTTCATACACTGCAAAGTTAAACGGGTATGATTATGCAACCCTGTCACCCACACTTGCTGTTTCTGTGTAGTTTACAGCTTTTATCAGGCCTGACTTCCTCCTCATCACGTGTTTTACCCTGCTGTCACATATTTATTTCATAAATACTTCCTGGAGAGCAGGGGACAGTATCTATGTTGGTCTGTCCCGAGATACTATCTACATGTCGTGTGATTGTCAGTCCGTCCTGGGATACTATCTACATGTCTTGTGAGTGTTGGTCTGTCCTGGGATACTATCTACATGTCGTGTAAGTGTTGGTCCGTCCTATCCTAGGGTTTCTTAACATTGTGTCTTTTCAAAGGAGAATTTTAAATTGAAACCAAATGTGAGGTTTCACATGTGTGAAATGCAGCGGCCATATATCTGTGTGGAGGTTTCATGACTGCAACTGTTAGTGTTCTAAATTATGCCTCAGAGTCAAGGTTCATCATCATCGTCAGACAGTGATGATAAGGTCCGACGGGTCAAATACAGCAACACTCAAGGACCTCGGGACACACCTCATTTTCGAAAATGTGATGTGCTTTGACTGTTTTGAATTCAAATTGGAGTCAGATTTGAATTTAGTTTCAACATGTGGTCTGTATACAATGTGGGGCAGGAGGTAGCCTAGTGGTTACAGTGTTTGCTCCTCAAATGTTTTGATGTTTGTTTGTTTGGTGTTTAATGCCGCACTCAGCAATATTCCAGCTTTATGATGGCGGTCTGTAAATAATCAGGTTTGGACCAGACAATCCAGTGATTGACACCATGAGCATTGATCCATGCAATTGGGATACGATGACATGAATCAGCCAAGTCAGCGAGCCTGACCACCCGATCCTGTTAGTCGCCTCTTTGCCTTTTACGGCAAGCATGGGTTGCTGAAGACCTATTCAAATGATGTGACACTGTGTTTGTGATCATGGGAATCAAATGATGTGACTCTGTGTTTGTGATCATGGGTATCAAATGATGTGACCCTGTGTTTGTGATTACGGTTATCAAATGATGTGACCCTGTTTTTGCGGTCACGGTTATCAAATGATGTGACCCTGTGTTTGCGATCATGGGAATCAAATGATGTGACCCTGTGTTTGCGATTATGAGTATCAAATGATGTGACCCTGTTTTTGCGGTCATGGTTATCAAATGATGTGACCATATGTTTGCGATCACCTTGAGAAGTCTCAGTGGTCACTAACTGCAGCTGTCATTTGTCAATGTGTTCATACAGGACTGAGACCGCCTCCAAGGTCTAATGGTAGAGCGTCCTCCCAGAGAGCGGAAGGTCCGGGGTTCGATCCCCGACCTCGTCACACCAAAAGACGTTAAAAGATGGTACTTCTTGTTACCCTGTCTGGGGCTCGGCATTAAGGGGCTAAAACAAGGACTGGTCGGCTCGGAGTCAGTATACTGTGTCTGAGTGGGGTATTCATGTTAAACTGCGGCATGGTATCTCAGTGAGCTAGCACTATAAATCGGCATCAGTCCGGACTAGTACAAGCAGCAACACAAACACACACACGTACATGCACGTCGCTATATAAGTGCAATAATCTTGGACGCAACGTTAAACTCCATTTCACCTCACCTCATACAGGACTTTCCCCAGAGGTCAGTGTTCTGTTCATCAGTGGAAGTCATTTCCTGTTTTGACCTGTTTCATAAACAGTATCAGTTGCTTCACTATGGGGATGTAAATCAGTACAAACACATGCTCTTTCACTCGGCTCATAGTTAGATTTTGTGTTGAAGTTTGAAAAACTGTCCTTGTTACTAATTTGATGTATTCAAAGTTTTCGGCAACTTTTACTTCTGATATTTTCCAGTGAGGCAGTGTGATCCTACCTTGTAATTTAAGTTTACCGACAGACGATGTGGGTTTTGAGTAACTGGAAAGAAATTTGACTGGCTAGAGCTTTATGTCCCTGTTAAATATGCTGATGAATTTCTCCCACAGGAGCATAAACAGAAACCAGTTCTGTATCCCAAAGTTCTGTGGTTAAGGTATTCATTTGAATAACCAAATTTGGAAAGTTTCCAGAAACTTGAAGGAGGCCTTGTATTTGGCTGTCTGGTCTTGAAAAAGTCTTGAGATATGGACATCTATGAAAAGGGGTCTCAAGATTCACATACAGTCAAACAGTTGTGTCGAACTTTGATGTGTCAAACTTATGGTTCACTCGAGGTAAAACGTTCGTCCCTGCATATTCCTTCTTTATTCATCATTTTCAGTTGTGTCGAATCTCGGATAACTTGATGTAGTTAGGTTGGACCCTTCGACTTTGACACAACAGTGTTTGACTGTTCTATGCAGGCTCACCTTGAAGGACTGCTCCCATTGTTACTTATCTAATTGGGGGGCACGGGTGGCCCAGTCGTCTAAGGCGCCGCGATTCGCTGTGCAGAGTTGCGTCCCTTGGGCACGCCAGAAACCTATGATTGTGGGTTCGAATCCCGGTTCGCCCCGATTATATTTCTAGGTTTGTCAGCACCATACCCGTGCTCGTGGGTTTCACCGAAGTGGTAAACGTCTGAGACCTGCATCACTTCAGGCTTTCCTCCAACATTAAGCTGACACGCCGCGATTTAACTGGAATACTGTTAAAAGCGGCGTTAAACCCTACTCACTCACTCACTTATCTAATTGTACAGCAGTGATCATTAGTTCTGCAACTTGGTTGTAGGGTATATTTATTTTATGAAAACAAAACTATCTACATTTATATGCAAAATTAGGAAAATTATTTGTTTTAAATTTAGAGAGAGGAATGTATTGTATAATATAAAAGATTTTATAGACTATATGTCAGTCTACCCTGGTCTCTTAGCTTCTGCTGACCGCCTCCGTGGTCTTGTGGTAGAGTGTCCGCCCGGAGAGCGGAAGGTCCAGGGTTCGATCCCGGGCCGCGTCATACCAAAAAGACGTTAAAAGATTGTACTTGTTGTTACCCTGTCTGGCGCTCGGCATTAAGGGGCTAAAACAAGGACTGGTCGGCTCGGAGTCAGTATACTGTGTCTGAGTGGGGTATTCATGTTAAACTGCGGCATGGTATCTCAGTGAGCTAGCACTATAAATCGGCATCAGTCCGGACCAGTACAAGCAGCCACACACACACATACACGTGCATGCACGTTGCTATATAAGTGCAATAATCTTGGACGCGACGTTAAACCCAATTTCACCTCACCTTAGCTTCTGCTGCACTAACCATCTAGAAAGTGTCAAGCTGCTGAACTTTTCCCGTTGTTGTCTTGTGACCGCTGTGTGTGACCTGAATCTAGTGATATTGTGATTCTAGTCATTGGTCCTGGCTACTTTTGACAGGACTGTTCCATTTGTCGGACACATTTGCCAGCTTTCAGTGTTTGTTAGTTTGTTGTTTAATGCCGCACTCAGCAATATTCCAGCTATATGACGGCGGTCTGTAAATAATCGAGTCTGGACCAGACAGTCCAGTGTCTGATGTCATGAGCATCGATTCACTCAATTGGGATACGGTGACATACATTAACCAAGTCGGCGAGCCTGACCACCGGATCCTGTTAGTCGCCTCTTACGACAAGCATAGTCGCCTTTACGGCAAGAATGGGTTGCTGAAGACCTATTCTACCCCGGGTCTTCACGGGTCGCTTTCAGTGTAGGTGAGGTGGTGATTGGGGTATCACTGGCACACTTACCATTGCAAACATGCTACCTGCACTACCTGCACTCTCTGTACATGTTCTACATACAGGTAGACATGACGACAGATTGCCAGGCTTATTCACTCCAGAGGAAAACAAATATTTCTGAGGAATATGAATGCTGCATTTATGCCCCTAGTCCAAAGCCCAAATCTAGTAACATTCTGTGTGGTCTGGTACATATGTAATTATGCTAAAATTTGCAGAAAATGTTACTTAGAACCAAGTATGGGCTTATACCATACAAGACACCCCCAGGTGTTAAAACTATGAGTGAGTGAGTGAGTGAATGTGCCTTTATGCCACTTTTAGTAATTAATAATAAAAAAGCAAACATGAGCTTACATGCTTCAGTTTGTTTGATTGCCAATTGAATTTGTACTGAAGTAAATAAATACAATTGAAACACACAAGAATGCCACACGTGCACACAGACACACAAAGTCTATTAAGATGCATGTACGCACCTACCTCTCTCTCCAGGAGTGGTCGTTATGAGGTCAAGGTCACTGAGCATAATTTGGTCATTATGAGGTAACTGAAGCATGATTTGTTTATTGACCCCTCGGGCATTAGCAAAGCATGAACTTTGGAAAGCAATAATCGAAGGTGGGTGTGAAAGGTTTGAGTGATGGCTGGCTTATTTCTTGTACCCTGCCTCAGGTGGTGGTGTTTGGGTGCTCCGGTGATCCATCACCGAGCCGAGGTATTGAACATATAATGTCCTTTTGGAAATTTAACTGGAATACAGTTCAGGCTTGATAAGTTATTGATGATGATGATAATGATAATGATGATGATTAATTAAGAAGTTGATAATCACAGATTGACATAGTCAATCAGTTATAATCTTGTGGTCTTTTCAAATTTATAGTGAATTTTTGTGTAGGAAAAATACCCTTGCCTCAATTTAAATATACTCAGCCCCTTGATCTTAGTATCCATGGAAGAGTTACTTCCCTTTCCTTATTGGCCTGTTTTGAATACATAACATGCGGTGATTATTTTCAGCGTGAATATGTCTATGTGAGATCAGGGTTTTACATGACGCAAGAAGTGTGCGTTCAGTACGCACAATATATAGAATGGACATAGATAAAATATATTGTGTGTCCCCCAGGATGCACAGGGACATTCATTGTACCAAATTCTTGACATGAAATTTAAAGTCCCTGTAATTAAGGTAATTATCAAATCTTGCAGTCTACATCATTTTTTTACTTTACGGGAACTTCATATTAAATTAATTATTGAGGGTCCCCTGGACTCCTGGTTTTATTGGTCAAGTTAGAACCTTGTGAGGTGATCCCCCGGGTAGGTGTGCGACACACGCACATCGCACGCGCACATGCACACGCACACGCACACGCACATGCACATCATGAGGAGGTAGAGAATCAACTGTCGGAACTCCGGCTCTTTAAGTGACCATCCTGTGAACATGGCATACTCATATCGTGTACTTTATTTCAGTGAACTCCGAAGCCAACGCCAGGCGTATCACATGTGTAGAACAGTGCTTTGGGACGGCTGGTCAGGTAAGCTGAAATCAGGCTGTTATTTAAAAAAAATTGTTTTGTGTGTGTAAGTGGTTGAGATTATCTGAAGATAGACACTTTATTGTTTATGCCAAAAGATCATTCACTTTCCTATCCTTCCAATAAGGTTTGTTTGTGCCAGATCCAAACCTAATAGTTTTTCTATTAGAATAAGCACATTTTGAATAAGGGATTGACCTGTTTAGGAATAGTGATAATCGACCTGCCATTTGATTGTCTGGGATTTTTATTAAAAAACCAATTTATTCCAAGAAATACTTGAAATAAACATCTGGCCTAAGCTTTTACCCAAATAATAAAATTACTCACTGTGTGTCCCCAAAATCCTCAATGAAAATATTCAGCCTCCAACAAAACTCACATTCATCCAACACTGCGATCTTAGCGCTTAGATGATCATAACTCCCATACTTTACCATAGGTGTTGTTCCTGTGAGACTGATGTTGTTTTGCTGGCATAGAGTTGTTCCTGTGAGACCGATGTTGTTTTGCTGGCTGTAGAGCTGTTCATGTGAGACTGATGTTGTTTTGCTGGATGTAGAGTTGTTCCTGTGAGACTGATGTTGTTTTGCTGCATAGAGTTGTTCCTGTGAGACTGGTGTTGTTTTGCTGGCATAGAGTTGTTCCTGTGAGACTGGTGTTGTTTTGCTGGCATAGAGTTGGTCATGTGAGACTGATGTTGTTTTGCTGCATAGAGTTGTTCCTGTGAGACTGGTGTTTTTTTGCTTGCTGTAGAGTTGTTCATGTGAGATTGGTGTTGTTTTGCTTGCTGTAGAGTTGTTCATGTGAGACTGGTGTTGTTTTGCTTGCTGTAGAGTTGTTCATGTGAGACTGGTGTTGTTTTGCTTGCTGTAGAGTTGTTCATGTGAGACTGATGTTGTTTTGCTTGCTGTAGAGTTGTTCATGTGAGACTGATGTTGTTTTGCTGGCATAGAGTTGTTCCTGTGAGACTGATGTTGTTTTGCTGGCATAGAGTTGTTCCTGTGAGACTGATGTTGTTTTGCTGGATGTAGAGTTGTTCCTGTGAGACTGATGTTGTTTTGCTGGCTGTAGAGTTGTTCATGTGAGACCGATGTTGTTTTGCTTGCTGTAGAGTTGTTCATGTGAGACTGGTGTTATTTTCAGCCGCTAGCCGTCCCTGGTCGTGTGCTGGTCGGAGAGGGTGTGCTCACCAAGATGTGTCGCAGGAAGCCCAAGTCCAGGCAGTTCTTCCTCTTCAATGACGTCCTCGTCTATGGAAATATACTCATTCATAAGAAAAAGGTAACAACTTTAACCTATTCTTTTCCATTCAAACGAACCCATAGAGATCCAAGGTAGAATAGGCCTTCTGCAACCAATGCTTGCAGTGAAGAGGCGATTATGGAGATCAGGTGGTCATACTCGCTGACTTGGTTGATGCATGTCATTTTATCCCAATTGCGTCGATCGATACTCTTGATGTCAATCACTGGATTATCTGGTCCAGACTCGATTATTTATAGACCACAAACATATTGCTGGAATATTGCTGAGTGCGGCGTTTAACAACAAACAACAACAGTCCATCCAACAGACAACAGATGAGATTCAACTTCTGAAGTTCCCCAATGGTTACCCAGTGCCCTCTGTGTATCTCTTTAAGGGGTGGGGGATCGGTTGACTCAGTATCAAGACGTTGCATTTCGCTTTTCAGAGTTACCTCCCTTTGGTATGACAGGGTCTTGTGATGATAAGTTTGAATCTCAAATTGACCCTGACTTTTTGTCAACACCTTACTATGCTCATTAGTTTCACCAAAGTTATAAACATCTAAGACCTGCATTACTGCAGGCTTACCTCCCACATTAAGCTGACATGCCATGATATAACTGGAATACTGTCCACCCACTCACTCATTATGGGCACTGAGTATAATTATCCCACATGACAGACGGACGGCCAGTGCACGTGACATCACATCAAACATTATGACATCATGATGTCCATGTATGGGTTTTTACAAGATGGCAACTGGCTTACAAACATTACAGCAACTGGCCAATCAGATTTATTTAAGGGTAATATGGGGCAATGGGTAGCCTGGTGATTAAAGAGTTCACTCGTCACGCCGAAGACCCAGGTTCAATTTCCCACATGCGTACAAGAAGTGAAGCTCATTTCTGGTGTCCCCTGCCATGCTGGAATATTGCTAAAAGCAGCGTAAAACCATGATTGCTCGCTCGCTCTGTTTTGTAATGTAATTCTTTCATGATGATAATTAATATGATAACAATCGTTTAATGATTCAGAAAACATACAACTTTATGGTTCCAGTGTATTGCATTTAGAGCCGTTTCGATGTAAATCTGATAACATTATCAAGCTTGAGTGATTGAAATGTCGCTCGATGTAATAAACCAAATGTTGTATCCATAAAGTTGTATGCTTTCTGATTTACTCACAAACTTCTAGAGTGGCAATCAAATGATTAATGATTGATGTGAGAGCTCCGATTATCAATATGAATATTCAGAGCAATAACCAACGTCATACGTCCTTGTCCCTTGTTGGGGCGGTGGGGTAGCCCAGTGGTTAAAGTGTTCGCTCGCCACGCCGAAGACCCGGGTTCTATTCCCGACATGGGTACAGTGTGTGAAGCCCATTTCTGGTGTCCCCCGCCGTGATATTGCTGGAATATTGCTAAATGCGGCGTATGTTTAACAGTTTTCTGTGTTTGTGTTTCAGTACAACAAACAGCACATCATCCCACTGGAGGACATCAAGCTGGACAACGTGGAGGATGAAGGAGGTGAGGGTCATAGCAACCTGTTACCATGGTTACAGGACTTGCATCATACCTGGCAATGTAGATCCTTGCTCGCAATATCGATCACTGGATAGTCTGTTCCAGATTTGGATATTTACAGTCCGCCATCATATGGCTGGAATATTGCTGACTGAGGCGTTGCACAAACAAACAAACAAACAAACCAACAAACTTTGCATTCCTACTCTGTACACTGACAGAACGTTCATTGATGTGTTGAACACTCTGGTCACCATCATTACTGACATTTCATTTTAACTGAAAACGGCAGTAAACATTTGTCGGCCCTTATTTTTGTCGCCAAAACTAACACAAGCAGAAAAGTATATCGTAATGTATATCACCAAAAACAAACTTTCTCCTGTTTGTTTACATCAATAATTAAAGACTCTACACATCCGCAGCATAACCTGATATGGTACAGATTTGTTCCACATTTTCTTGCTGCCGTCTGTTGGCTTAATATTTACCCTGAACCAATTTGCCGAATGTTAAAGGCACATTGAGGGTTTTATTTGGGTGGTTTTATAAAGTACCATTATTCGGGCTGGTACCATCCTCTATATGTTGAGGACTTACATTTCGGTAAGATCCATTCATGTTGTTTTTGTGATAGTTTGAAATTGTGAGATCAATGGGAATGGATCCCGGGGTTAGCGTAGGTTTACCTCAGTGTGAGTCCTGGAGATACAGAGGGTGGGCTGATACGTGATTAGGTTGCCTCCCTGAAAGATGTCTGTGTTGAATTTCAGCAGGTGTCTACCGATATATCAAACTATCAATGTTTTGCAATTGTTTAAACTACAATTGTACTATATCAAATTATCAATAGGAATATGAAATGCCAATGGTATTATCAATAGTATGTATAACTATTGATAGTATAAGTTGTTGCAATTAGTTATATAGATGACGTAAATTTTGTGTTGGAAAATTTCACTCTCCTGTGTGTTGATTAGCAAGGATGATGACATCTTCATTTTAGAGTTACTTACCTTTCCTTTGAGTTGCGACAGGGAGGAAAATGGCCAACTTTGTTGGCAATACTTTTTTCATTTCCATTACATTGATTAGTATAATTATCAAGCCTTAAAGTCGGTCTACTACTATTGTAAAACTATTGACAACTATGACAGTACTATTACAATAGTGTGGGTTACTATTGCAAAGTAGACACAATTTATGGATAAAAACTTCTTTAATACTGTAAAGGCGATTTTTCGGTATAGATCCTTACACCGTTTTCAAGCAAGACTGTCGGATCTATACCGAAACGTCGCCTTTACAGTACTAAAGAAGATGTTAATCATTAATTGTGTCTACTTTGTCATCCGTCAACTTCTAAGTAATGCCTATCAAACAATTAACTATTGCAATACAATCCAAACAGTGAAAATAGCCCCAATATTCATCCCTAGAATCCAACGCAGGAAACCGTTTGCTGCAGCACTAGTGTAAAGACATCTAATCACTCAAAGGTGATTAACATGAAGTGTTCCTTGTTGTAGAGCTGCACAACGGCTGGAACGTTATCAGTCCACAGAAGTCCTTCACAGTGTACGCAGCGACGGTCACGGAGAAGAAGGAATGGATGGCTCACATCCGGAAGTGTGTCAACGATCTGCTTGTAAAGCGTGAGTTCTTGTTTATCTAAGGAGGAATGTCATCCTGGTTGTTCCACATCAGAACACTGTATGACATCATCAGTGGTTGTCAGAAGAGACCTAACACACTAAGGCCTTAAAAAAATATTTAAAAGTTGGTTCTCAGGCAATGACTTTTGAAAATATATTGCAGGCGGGCAAACTCCTATTGCCCCATGACCATAACATGTGATGCACAGTAAAGCACTGCGCATGTAAAGGGAAGTAATTGTGTGCTACATGTATATTGGATCGCTTTATGTTTAAGTATAAGGATTTTTATATTTTTTTTAAATGGAAATAAAAACGAAACATGCAGCAAACTTTATGATGATGCGGGCGGTGCCTGAGAACCAAGACTATTATTTTCTTAAGCCTAACATATTGTCATTATGATGAAGTCTTTCATAGGCATTTAGAAGTTGGGAGAACATGACACTTTTTTTGATAGCAACTTCTTTTATTTTATTTATCAGGGGAATGCCTTGTAAGTGTGGAGACACAATATATATATATAAATCATGATGTTTACACACCATTCATCCCGCCTTATGTTGTGTGAACGTTTTTATCCGTAGGTAAAGTATTAAGAAAGTTAAATAATTTCAGTTTTCCTTTTATGTGAAACTGTTAGCATTGTAATTGGTTTCCCCATTTGCCTGTGTAACAAAGTGTGAGTTTGCATAGCATTTAGAAGATGTGCCAAGTGAATACACACCAATTCCTTTTCTTTCTTCATTTGGACAGTTTAGAAATAACTTTTTTAGAAAAGGTTAAAGGTTCTTAATATGAAGCAGCAGACATCCATTCAGTATTTGTTGATGCGTGAAATACGAAGGTTTTCTACCAACCAGGCGGTATTACCCAGACTTCCAGGGACGACTCCCCGGTGTGGGTGCCGGACTCCGAGGCCAGGACCTGCATGCACTGCCGCAAGTCGGAATTCTCCATTGTCAACAGAAGGGTAGGTGCTGTCACAATGAAACAGTGTCCACTGAAGCAAATGTAATCAGTGAGTGTGCAAAAACACAAAACAAAGACATTTTGCCTGAGATAAAATGAAAAAATTATTGTTCCCTGTCCTTGAACAAAATGAAAATGCTGTAAAAATCTTGAAATTGTTCGGCTCCTCTTCGGAGAGAAATTTTGATGTTTTGAGCAGTGACCAATATATTTCCAGTCTCTAGGAGAAATCCCAAGTCTCTTCAGAATATTCAGTGGCAAGGTCCCTCCCTTATTGTGGAGATTGGTGAATCTATAGATGTATGTTGATATGCAAACAGTCCACAGAACCATGTGTTGACACGCCATGGAAAAGTGTTTCTTATCAGTATATGTGATGAATTTAACAATATTCCAGAAGCCATTATAGTCCTCAAAGTTAGTTATTTTGTTAGGGAGTCATGGGGCTCCTCTCATGAATATTTTTGGAGCCAAACCTAAGTTTTAAAAGCCAACAAATATGTTAAACAAATATTGCCACCATTGTTGTCTTTTAGGCAGCCAAGTGGCAAGCAGTAGATAAATTTAGGTCACCAATCATAAATTTAAGTCGCATTATGCAACCAAAATGATCGCTACTTAGAGGGCTGTCTTAATAGCAGTTTCTTGTGCGTTTCTCATTGTTTTATCTTCATAATAAGCCTGTTTTTTTATCAAGACTTTCTGTAATGAATTTGAAAAAATTGTCAAATTAGCCAATTTGAGGAGATGCAGGCAGCCATTTTATTTTAAAAATTGACAGAAATCAGTATGCGTTCTGTCCAGTCTGCTGTTTTCACTCATGTGTGTGTCATGTTTCAGCATCACTGTCGGAAGTGTGGCATCTTGGTGTGCAACGCCTGCTCAAACAAGCGACTGATGATGCCGCAGCAGTCGTCAAAGCCGCTGCGAGTGTGCCTCACGTGCTACCACCAGATGTCCAACTCTGCCGAGGGAAGGAACAGCACAGTGGGAGGTGAGTCCGCCACCATGGACATCTTCAAGACATTTAACTCTGGCAACTCAATATTTCATTGCTGGTGTGGAAGAACTAGGGTCTCCTACAGACCCCAGAGCAGCGATAGAAACTGCCCAGTAGTCACTGCGATAAGTGTTTGGTCGTTGAGTTAAAAAACAATGAAGTTTGCTCTCAAAATATATAAAAATACTAAGGCGAGTTGATTGAAAACATCAATTTTTTACTTATCCTGCATTACTCCTTAATGCATTCACTGCTTACTTACGACAACTAGAAGGACAGCGCTGCGAAGGTCCTGGGTGAAGAAATAAAGTTGTTGTTCTCAAGTCCCAATCAGTGGCCTTCCGTCGCTGTCCTGTGACCTTGATGACACCTAAGGTCATCTTCACATCACTGCTTGTCGCAGCACAGCTAGGACGTGTCCAAGCGGAGCTCTCCTTTTGGATTAATTTTAGACCTTCAGTTTGTCTACAATCTTAAAAATTGATCTGCGATGGGTGATGTATTCTTTTCATATTACTTTCACCATGTTGTGTAGTTTTATGTGAATTAATTAGGCGTGAAAAGACGCTTGTCTTTTTTCCCGCCAAAATATTGTTGTTCGCCGCCATTTTGAATTGTGTTACAATCGTTTGCCTGCCAAGGTAGTCATATTGTTTACAATTCTCAGCTACGTATGTATAACATATTCTTATGTTCTTAAATATTACTAGCTTTGGCGTAACAGTGAGTTGCGTATACTAAAATTATTGTATACTTTTTCAACTCGTTAAAAATATGGTTGCCGATAGATTAATATAAAATCTACGGCTTTCTTCCAGTCCCGCTTCATCAACAATTCTTTTATTGCGTACCTATGTTTATGCGATTAAATAGTTTTTTGTTGGTATTTTTGGTTTTACATTGAGTTGCGTATATGAACTATTGTATACTCTTGCAACTCGTAGTTTTTGCCGATAGATTATTGTTCAATTCTATGGCATTCTTCCAGTACCGCCTCATCAACAATGGCGTAATTGTGTTTGTTTTAAACATATTTTATTGACATATATGGTCAACGGGATTGGGCAAAAGTTATCCAACTTAGGTGACCCTTTCCCTACTCTATATGTACAGACATTGAATATACATATATATATATGTAATTGTGTAACTTATGATTGAGAGTGGTATTAATTGTCGTGGGAAAAATCTTACAAAGATTATCATCCACGTTGTTTGGTTTGCGCGCAGATGTGCTCTCCAAACCCTAAATGAAAATATAAATACCCTTGGTTTACATTGGGTTGCGCATACAAAAATATTGTATATCCTTGCAACTCATAAATTTGCCGATAGATTAGTGTTCAAATTCTTCGGCACTCTTCCAGTATTATCTCATCAACAAGGGTTTCATTGCGTAACATACCTTTGAGCTTTTTACTAATTGTCGTGGAAAAAACCTTACAAGATTATCATCCACGATTGGTTGGTTTGCGAGCGGATGTGCTCTCCAATCTCTAAATGTAAATAGCCTTGGTTTACATTGAATTGCGTATATAAAAATATTGTATACCCTTGCAATTCGTAATTTTGCCAATAGATTACTGTTCAATTCTACGGCATTCTTCCAGTACCATTTCTTCAATGGTTTAATTGCGTAACATAATTATGTTTGCTCGGTGTACATATTGTCGTGGAATAATCGCCCAAAGCTCTTTATCCACGGTCATAGGCATGCACGTAGATGTGCTCGCCAAAATTCAAAATGTAATTTTTATGTAAATCTCTAATCCAACGAGTTTACTATATAAAAGCAGATTACTCACAATCATATTTTGCAGTTATTCCGTCGTGAGACGAGAGGAATGTCACTATCGCAGAATAGCGAATGACATATGGTTCTGTCATTACCACCCAACCGTTATTATCGGCAGGTATTATGACGACTGTGATTGCAGAAGTACACCATCCACCGAAATCAACAATACCGGAGGATTTTGTGAGTATCGTAACTGCTCCTATTTTTTCAGCCGCCGGACACTTCCAGATACATGTATAATAATCTGTGACGTCGGCGACAGCACCAGCACCAGCGTATCGAGATGCTATGATGGGGGTAGATTTGTGTCTGATTTATCTGCGCCGAGCGCAGCACTTGACTACAACCCAAGCACTTCTATTACGCAAGTGGCGCACGATCAGCTTAGCGCTGTTCCAACATATCCAGCATAGACCTGCGCCGAGCGCAGCGTCTGACTGATACCCAAGCGCTCCTATCACGCCAGTGACGCACGATCAGCTTAGCGCTGTTCCAACATATCCAGCATAGACCTGCGCCGAGCGCAGCGTCTGACTGCTACTCAAAGCGCTCCTATTACGCAAACGTCGCACGATCAGCTTAGCGCTGTTCCAACATTCCAGACCTGCGCTGAGCGCAGCGTCTGCGTATCAATCAAGGTCTCTACAATGACGTTAGCCCAAGGCTTACAGTGTACTCGGTTACGTAACCGGCACATGATCAGCTTAGCACATGTACCCGATTGGGAAGCAGACCATCTCGTGTCAGTAACGCCCTCCCCTGATAACAGGGTAAATAAGAGGGACACCACGAGGTCATTGGAGGAAGCCTCCTCCAAAACTCACATTTGCTCCGTGATTTAAGCGACCAATATCGTCAATGTTTGCAGTGGATCAGAATCTATTAGAGGATAACCCTATCTGATTAGATCACTTCCAAACTATGGTGTTTTTCCTACAGCGTCAGTTTGACCACAGGAAAATTGAGACCGTTCTGACGGTGATTACCGTTACACCCAAGACTTTATAGCGTTTCCAACTGAGATGCTGGTTTCAAGGGCAGTCTATTACGTCAACCTTGATCATCTACTCCCCTGTTCAACGAACAGATCGCAGACACGCACGTCAAGTTCCCAAAAAGCTTGGAAAGTCCAAGTCAGGGAATTATAAGCCTAGACGCGCGTTTCTCAGGGAAGACCAGCATTCCCTTACTGAGAAAGGGAGTTGCAGAGACAAGTCTCAAGGACGATTTCGTACTTATCGCACTATATCATGGTGTCCGTATAAGGGTAGAGTTAACCCCACCGTTGACCACAGTTTGATTGGGAAAATCCAACATAGACATACTGTTGGTAAGAAGAGCTGTAGAGTGGGTTCACAACCCAGTCTTTACTCCGGGGTTTTATCCTCACACCTACCTGGTACTCATGAAGGACCCAGACAAGATGAGAATGATCCACAATCTCTGTGTTCAACGAACGTTTGATTCTTCATCAGTCTCGACTATCCATCCCAACCGTAGACTTTTCAGGTCCAGTTCATTGGGGTTCACTACCAATGGTAGTATTTCCCATTTGACATGTCAGTGACACTTGTGGCTATTTACAGGAGTAATGAAGCCAATAACTATCTACACGTGACGAACACTTGGTTCGAGTCGTAGATGGAGGGCGATCTACTGTATCATCAACACATGTCAATAACTGGGATAGACAATCAACGAGGCGAAGTCGGGAGTATTCTCCTTCCTATTGACTTCAGTTCATAGGAGACCTGTTTAAGACAGACCAGGATATCCTATCTGTACCGAGGGACAGATGGCACAAGTTTCTACTTCTTTTGTCATCTACTCTACACCAACCACACACACTTCGCCAGTGGCAAGTGTTGCTAGGGTTAATCACCTCGGCACAGGAGTTAACTAGCATGGGCCGCTTACAACAGCGACCAATTCAATTTTTTCCTGAACCCTTACATCAGGAGTCAGGATCCACTCAAGGCCATCACTCTACCAACTAAGCTAGAGCCTTGCCTCAATTTGTGGCGCTGAATGTCTGCGGAGTCTGTTTATTTGGGTTTTCCCCGAATACACACCTGTTTGTGGACGTCCCCTTTCAGGGGTGGAGTCTTCACTTACAAGACCAGATAAGCTCAGGGCTATGGCCCGGCGCACAATGGAAGTGGCACATAAACAACTTGGAGTTGGAAGCTTTAATTCTGGCTATATCACATTGGCAGAATCAACTACAGTTAGCCCGACTCGCTATATCCACAGACAACAGCACTGCGGTGTGGTGCCTGTGCAATCGGGGAACAACACACTCCCACTCTCCACTTCTAAGGACATTCAGATTTCTTCCATCTAGTGGATCGGCTGTGACTAAGGTTCATAGTTCAGCACATCCCCGGATGTAGAAACATGCTGGCCGATACTTTATCACGTCCAGACAGGGTGGCTCCCACTGAGTGGAAATTTCTCACAGAAGCATTCCAGTTACTGCTTCAGGAATTCAGGCAACCAAACATTGACTTGTTTATTACTTGCCTAGGCCACCAACTCATGACGTATATCTCCCCGTTGCCGGATCCGCAGACTTGGGCGGTGGACGAGTTCAGTATCACTTGGGAAGGGCAAAGAACTAAAACTCTTCTGCCACCACTTTTACTTCCCAAGGTGCTACAGGGGATCAAGGAGACAAGGTATCTCGATCTCTCCTTTGGTCGCACCATGGTAACCGGCGAGAGGGTAGTTCGTCAAGCTCGGAAAAATCTAAAACGATTCACTTCCCCTCTCACAGTGGTCCAACCTACTCATCCACCCTCAACAGAAAATTGCCTCACCCAACGTCTGCACGCAGGGTTCGTCTTTAAAAGGCGTTTAAGTGCGAAGGGTTATTTCGACACGGGCAGCAAAGCTATAGCTTTAGTTCATCGTTACTCTCCCAGAGACGACGATGACAAGTGGGGATCACTTGAGACTTTTTACAGGGAAGAAAAGAATCAAGACCCTACGATTGCGTCACAATTCCTAGAGGAATACCTCCTACATTGCGTACCCAAAAACACTTGGAAGGTAGCACCATTACTACGTAATTGGCTGCAATTATCTTAGTGTTGGCCGTTTCCGGAAAATCACAGTGTGATTAAGGTCACGGAACTACAGGCCATATTATGCTCATTCAGGTTTGAGGATCAGAAGGCCAAGTTCCAGCCACCTGATTGGGACTTGAACGTGGTACTTCGAGGTTTGCGAGGGCCCCCTTCGAGCCCCTCATTGCATCCTCATTTTCAAGCTCCTTCCCAGCGCGTGACACCTTCGTTACACTCTCGGTATAGTATAGAGAGCTCCGCGAACGGGCTATCGCTGTGAGGAGCTTGGACATCACCAAGGAAACAATGGTTTCTCTTGGCATTAGCAATGGCGGTACGGGTGAGCGAACTACATGTGATCGACTCAACCCGGATCCGTTTTGAGCATGGGACGCACGGAACGGGACATCTAGGGTTATGCTGGGATTTTATTGCTAAAATCTACTACCAGGCCAACCCGACCGTTCTTCACCATCCCACCGATATCGACTATTGTGGGAATCGTACATGGTGAAATTCTCCTGGGCTCGGTGCGAGCAGTTCGAGTTTTCATTCGACGCTCCAAGACAAGGCGTGGTTCGTCCACGACAGAAGTTAGTCGCATAATCGCAAACACCATATCTATATGGTTACGCGCAGTAATCCTTCAGGCCTACGAGATCATCAAACGGAACTCGCCGAGAGCGAATTACCCTCAAGATCTCAAGGTGTCAGCCTTACCAGGGCTCAACACGGCAATTGTGGTTTTGGAACAATCACGGAAGGATATTTCTGGAGATTCGACACATATTTTCGTTAGTCATAACCTTCGCGTTGTGACTCTCGAGGATGTCGAAGACGTTCGAAGTTTGGCCCTCTGGTTGTTATCCTGCAGATTGCCAACCACTGACGCAAATAATGAACTCGCCCTATACAGAGCCAGTCAACTTCCATGTGCAGTCACCAGTGGAAGAATATTAGACAATCTTGTTTGTCAGCGACGGCTCTATGACGCAGTAAGTAAAGAATTAGCTGAATAGCTATTATTTTCTTTATTACTAAGCGTGTATAGGGAATTTCTCTTTAATTCCTTTGTTCAATGTTTTTGATTTTTGAACAACCCTACCGTAATGGCGTTTTTGTCTGAACTTTTCCGCTTCACGGTTTATCGACCAATGGGGTCGTATTGCAGGGTGTGAATTATTGAGGTTTCTGTATTCTGAAGGTTTACCCACCTCCAAACCGTCCGATACAGATGCATTAAGGAGTAATGCAGGATAAGTAAAAAATTTAGTAAAATCTAAATATTTTTTACATTTGTATACTTATCCTGCATTACTACGCTTAAGGCCCACCCGTCGTTAGACTTGCCTCCCCACTTTGGCTTCAGAAACCTCAAAAGTATGTTTTTCTAAGAGCTTGGGCGACAGGCAGTGATGTGAAGATGACCTTAGGTGTCATCAAGGTCACAGGACAGCGACGGAAGGCCACTGATTGGGACTTGAGAACAACAACTTTATTTCTTCACCCAGGACCTTCGCAGCGCTGTCCTTCTAGTTGTCGTAAGTAAGCAGTGAATGCATTAAGGAGTAATGCAGGATAAGTATACAAATGTAAAAAATATTTAGATTTTACTAAAACTTAGCTTCTTTGTTGGAATAATTTCAGAGTAAATTCAACAGACAATGGCTGCAGCCACAGCAGTAACCACGTTTTCAGAACACAGATGTTGATTTTGTTAAACATTCTCTGATTGGACGAGCCATATGTGTGATAGTCCACTCCTATATAGCACAGAAAAGATGGCTTAAAATGGCAAGGTTGAAACTAGACTTTGATGTAGGCAAGTGGACACGCTTGCTTTGGGAAGATGACTTTGATCACTTCCACTTGCATTGGTGGCTACACGCTACTTACACTTATCTGTTGGTTGTTCCAGTGCCGGACCAGGCTCGCCTCAACGATTCATCAGGAGAGGAATCATCAGATGATGACGATGAGTCTGGGGCTTTGTCAAACCAGGTGAGCTAAGTCTTCGTCTCTCATCCAGACCCTGAAACAAAATTATAGAAAAACTCCAAAGCAAGTATACAATACTTTGGTAATGTTAGTATTCTTCTGAGAATAACAGGGCGGTTGGGTAGCCTAGTGGTTAAAGCGTTCGCTCGTCACGCCGAAGACCCGGGTTCGATTCCCGACATGGGTACAATGTGTGAAACCCATTTCTGCTGTCCCCCTCCATGATATTGCTTGAATATTGCTAAAAGCGGCGTAAAACCATACTCACTCACTCACTCACTTTGAGAATAACAATTTTCTGGCTCATTTCTATTTCATTTTAGGAGACAATTTAACAAAAATATCTTGGAATATTTAATATTTAGAGATTAGATGTTATGGGTTGTCTAAGAGATTCCAAGTTGCCATACTGCCGAAGGATAAGTTGGTAGGGACAGAGTATTATCTCGTCCAACTGATGACCAATATTTCATTCAGAGAAAGTGTTAATGAATTACAGAAATTATACTCCATAAACCCTCCATGGAGATTCTTCAGAAGAATAGGCCCCAGAACCCAATTCTCTGACTACTCTTATGTACTGTGGCAATTCGGGGTTAGAACGGTACCCATCAAGCTAATCTTGCTGTGAGAGGCGACTGAATGGATCGGGTGCTTAGGCTCAGTGATAACATCATACTCTAGTGTGGGACAGTGCTCATAATATCAATCACTGGTCAGCGTCAGAAATTCCTTATACTCCTCGCCAAACTGCCTAATAGGTATCATAAGGATTAGTAGAAATTTTCCCTAAGGAATTTGCTATACTAGTATGTTATCATTATGAGGACTAGTGGACTAAAACTGTTTCTATCGTTGCTGGTTTCTGGTTGTTTGGTCCACTGAAATGCTAACGATGGTTTGACCCGGTACGTGTGTCCTGTCGTGGGAGGTTGCTCATGCTCTCAGCTACTGGTTTTCGAGGTTCAGGGTTGATATTTACATAGTGCATTGGTGTAGCCTTAAACTGCTCAAACTGCACTGTAAAACAGTCGCTTCAGAATTGACACCAATAGTTTTGGCATTTGTGGAGAGATAGATGTATACAAAGTGTGCACACTGGTTTGAAGGAGTCGAACTCCATCAATGCGTCTTGCAAAAGACCAGGGTACGTTTCCCCACATGGGTACAATGTGTGAAGCCCATTTCTAGTGTCCCCTGTTGGATATTGCAGGAATATTTTTAAAGCAGCGTAAAACCATACTCACTCACTCACTCACTCACTCACTCAACATAAATGCAAAAATATTTTGAAGTTAATTTTTATAACTAAATACATCAAAAATAATATTTTCACAATCGGTGACAACATTTTATGCAATAATGCTACAGAGTAGTCTGTTTGTGGTCGGGGCATAGATTATTCTTTTCGGTTCAATGAATTGCTTGCAATGTGTTTTTTATTCATCCCTTTCATCTGCTTATTTGACATTTGTCTCAGTGTATATACTCTCTCTTTCTGTCTTTCAGAATCAGTTTCAAACATACGGAAGCGAATAGTCCCAGCAACGGCACAAAAAGGACAAATATATTTTTGTGACACAACAATCCAGTGCAGGTTTAGCCTGATGGATCTCCTTTTACACCGTGCAGCAGCTGTAGAATAAGTACTATTTTCCTGCCTACTTGTCACAACCAGGCTTTGGGCAACAGTAGAGATAAAACACTGTCTTGGTTTTATCACAACATGTAGTGGGTATTACTTAGGTATCTGACAGACTTTCAAGTGGCTTGTTTGATTGTTGTGGAGAAATATATGCTTCAACGTTTGTATTTAACTTATTGAATCAACAAATGATTGATAGTTTGAAGGTGTGTAGTCTTGTACTGCTGAACAGTGAAAAGCTTGCAGATGTTGCTGACAGTGGATACCAGGAGTTACCAGGATTTGCCGGGATTTGCCAGGATTTACCAGGATTTGCCAGGATTTGCCAGGAGTTACCAGGATTTGCCAGGAGTTACCAGATTCACCTGACAGGCATTCAAGTACCTTTAGAATTCAAGAACACTTGAATATGAACTATTTGGAAGACCTTGAAGTTCCAACAATATATCTGATTATTGTATATTTAACTTTGTATCAGTTGTTAACGATGTATATGTATTTGTCATTATAGGTATGGAAATACAAGGGGCACAAAGTTGGTGATCAAATTGTTGTTTATGCTTTGGATTTGACATCATGTTAATCAAAGCAACACAGTATGTCAAGCTAACTTCCTCATGAGGTGTGGCAAAACAGCGTTAAACCCAACTCACGAACTCACTCCCGAGTTGTGGTCAGTTGGGCCGGTAGACAGTGCTGTTGATATCACATTAAGGTTCACTTCCCCCGTTGAAGAAGACAAACCAGTTGTGTTTACCATCTTCAATATGGCTAAGGGTAAGAAATGGTGGGTAGATAATAAAATGTTTTCTAATATATTACCACATATGTACAGTGTGTGAAAGGTGAATTATAGTTATTTGGCCTGGCTGGAAACTAACAGTAGTCCTGTTGGAACGGATGTGGGTCTCATGACAGATGTGAAATACTCGGTATGACTCAGTCAGGCAGGTGTTTTCTTCACCTGTCTAGAGCTGCACAGAGATAGCTGAGTCGGCAAGAATGTAACCATGGCGTATTGATAGAATAGTCTGTAGGGAACCTTACAAGGAAGTAAGTTATTTAACTTTAAATGGCTTTGCTGTATATGTGTACAGAATATATGTTCCAACACTAAGGATTTCATCGCTTGGTGATCTTTATACATGAAGTTATGTTTTGCCCTTGAACTGTTTTTCATGTGACCCATCCTTGCTGTGTACAAAAATCATACAAGAGTTACCTGCCCTTGCTGTGTACAAAAATCATACAAGAGTTACCTGCCCTTGATGTGGACAGAAATCTGATTAGAGTTACCTGCCCTTGCTGTGGCCAGATGTAGAATTAGCTTTACCCTCCCCTACTTGTTGCAATGCCTTTTTATGTAGAAACGTCTGAACAAATTACTTGCCCTTGATGTGTTAAAAAGAAAGGAAAAGGAATGGAAAATGAATTGGATGGAAAAGAGACACAAAACACTGTATTTTGGTTGTTTTAGACATGTCCTTATTAATTAAAAGTTGTCATAAATAAACGATCTGGGTCTCCAAGTGGTGCTGGGGTGATGGGAAGTGGTTAGTGCATGTCAAGGACACAGGTGAACTTCACAACATGGGTACAATGTGTAAGGCCCACTCTTGCCGCCATGTTGCTGGATTAGAAGTGGCACAAGGCCCGTCTCACTCTCTCTGATTGCTGCAGACTATGCCAGAATACTGTTCAGTTCAGGAACATAAGTCTGACTGACCAAATGGATGTAGTATTTTGAATTTTTTTGTGCACATTGTACCCATGACATGAAGTGAACGAACACAGTGTCGGACTCACAGTCAACTTGCTCTTTGTCTGAAAGCATCGTACATCTTTTCCTTTCGCGTAAGTTCAAGTCAGCTATCTGAAAATGTTCATCACTGAATAGATGTTGAAATGTTGTATGAACCATGAAGAATAATGGCTGCATACTTCTGTGACCTTCTGTGTTCTCGCTTTGGCTTTTCGTAAATGAAATACGAGACTTAATACATCTACTGTTTCATGTTATTTTCAAGACTTTTATACGTACATACCATATCAGAGTAATATGTCATGTGACATCATTTGTACAATGTTCATGTAGGAGTCTAAATGAGAAACAAGTAAAAACCCAGTGGAATTATTCCTATTTTTTACTTATCCTCCATTACTCCTTAATGCATTTACCGTTTACCTTGCGACAACAACCACCAAATAAAGTTGGAGAGCCAAGCGAGACACGTCCCTGCAGGTCGGTGACAAGCAGTAATATGACCTTGTGTGACATATCATCAAGGTCACATGACAGCAGGATGGTCCTACAAAAAGCGGGATTTGAGATGGAAACAGCTTTTTTTCTCTTTCACCCAGGACCATCGCTAGGTTCTGTCGTAGGTTAAGCAGTAAATGCAGGATAAAAAAGCAAATGTGAAAAATATAAGGATTTTACGAAAATTGTTGAGAAATAAACAAATGTGTTTGAGTTCGTATTCATGCAAGTCATTACAATTTTCAATGCAGCACTATAAAACTTGGACTCTTTTAGCACCAACCAAAAATGAAATTGGATCGTGGAATATATTAGATATATTGTTTGGATTCTTCTCATCCACTTCGTCCCATCAACCACTGGTGTAGATGTAGAATAATGAAAAAATATTATATTTAATCTTATCCTGCCTCCTACACATGCATTAGTATGAGTCAGGATAAGTATAAATGATATTTTTACTCTAAAAACTACACTTTTATCCAATAATTGCTAATGAAGATGCAAAGTCAGTTTATGAGAATCAGTCTATATTAAGTTCATTGCTTACTGGTTTAGAGTACAAGATGTGGTGATTGTTTTTGAAAGATTTATACTGCAGCAAATATTGTATGACCTTAATGCAGCAACTTGATACTGGATGCATGACTGCAGCCCACGTCCAGCTGCTTGTGCCTTATCCTCTCACGGTGGAGTCGTGTGTCGTCAAATGGCATCTGTTGGGCTCCAGATGGGTCAGCTATTGATCTTAACAGGAGTTAGTTGTAAGGTAGTGGCATGGGTTATGTCCCTTTGTAGTACCTGGATCTGCTGGACATTCACTCAGGTTCAGCATGTAGTGAACATCTAGGACCTGCGTCCGATCCACTTCTCCCAGGTTAGAATGAGACGCTGAAGTGCTGCTCACTGCAGTGTTGAACACATCTCACTCCTGGTTGATAGAAGGAAGAGTTGCGTCCCCTCCCTGGAGCTGCAGCAATCAGATCACATATCTCACTCTATAATTCCTGCAGTCATATAGCTTCAGTATTGCTGAAAGTGGCATAAAACCATACTCACTCACTCACTCACTCACTCACTCACTCACTCACTCACTCACACACCCACCCACCCACTCACTCACTCACTCACTCACTCACTCACTCACTCACTCACTCACTCACTCTTTAAGTCTTCAAGCACTGTACATTCACTAGTGTCTGTATTATGCCACAATAACTTAATTATTACATTTTCTTCCAAGTTAGGGGATTGGGTGCCGTTGTACAAAACCATCTTAGCACTACGACTGTCGTAAGTCTATGTTAAGGTATGGGAGTTACGATCACCTTAGCGCTAAGATCGCTTTCTACAACAGCACCCTGACCACTGAATGTTATGGAGGGGGACTGGGTTTTGTAAGAGTATTTTTTTCCGGTCACAGCTTCAGGTCAGTTATTGAAAGGAGCCTATCAATTTTGGGGGACCCTCAAATTTTTCAGTGCGGTCGGGTAGCCTAGTGGTTAAAGCGTTCGCTCGTCAACGCCGAAGACCCGGGTTCGATTCCCAACATGGGTACAATGTGTGAAGCCCATTTCTGGTTTCCCCCGACGTGATATTGCTGGAATATTGCTAAAAGCGGCGTAAAATCAAATTCACTCACTCACTCAAATTTTTCAGGACACCTGGTGAACAAATGAGGCCAATTTATTTTTTTGGATTTGTTTTTTTAAAACAAATCCAATATCTCCCCAAAATTGAATGCTCCATCCCAAACTGAAAGGGGTTATTTGTTATGCATCATTTGTCCAGATATGTACCGGTAAATCAAAAAGCTGTGACCTGTCACAAGCTCTGGCTGGGAAGAAAGTCTCATTATTAACTTGTTGTGGCCTTATGGTAGGGGCTATGATCTCATATCACCCAGGGCTCCATGTCCTGAGGTTGTGGATAGTTCAGTGATTGGTCGTATGGCATTATTTCCTTATAAGGTTGCCTCTGTCGGCGATGTATCATTGTTTCCTACAGGAAGGAGGTAGCCAGCCACGTGTGGACATTGTAGTCACTGTAGCCCCTGTTCACCTCGCACAATGAATCATATATGTCATCATCTTACACTCAGTCATGATCAAAATATATCAACTTTCTCATCTGTAGTTTAGAGTTTTGTAAGTGAAATTGTTTCGTATTTGTTTCCTTGTGTTTTGTATTTTGATACTTGAATACAACTTTTGTACATGTCGTGTATGTATTGGCTAACATCACACAAATTTTGGTGCAAGGTATCCTTTGGAGTTCAGTGGAGTCTGTTGAGAAGACAAATGTATTTCAGTCTTACTCAAGCCAAAGTATCCCTGTATATAAAACAATTGTATTTACACTGAAATCTGAGGAATGCCTCTGAAGACGTGTCACCGGTCATCTAAAGATTCTAAATAATCTCCAATGAATATTTTATTCTTAAACCAACTGAGAATACCTAATGTGTACACAACTTTTTGTCACTGAAAGACTGGATGACTTCCCCTAAAGTTGTGCATGTCTGCAACTGTTTGTTGTGGCTTAAAAATAAGAGAATTGGTTCTCAGGCAATGACTTCGGAAAATATAGTGTTGGTGGATGGTAGATTTTGCTGTTGTTGCTTGCTCAAACTTTTATGTAACCAAATAAACAGTTGTGTACCATCAACCTGGGAAAGGGCCTCCCTACATATACAAGCATACAAACTCTATTGCCACCATGACCATAACACGAGATGCACAGTACAGCAGTGCGCATGTAAAGGGAAGTAACTGTGTGGTATTTGGATCGCATTGTTTTTAAGTATTAAGATTTCTAAATATTTTTTGAAAATGGAAATAAAAACAAAATATGCAGCAGACTTTATGATGATGTGGGCAGTGCCTGTGAATCGACTATTATTTTTCCAGTCTGTACTGTCAAAATTTATCAAGAGCTATGCATGGATGATTCAGACAGTATTTGTGCTCAGAGAATTGCAATCCCATGTTAGCTGTATGGAAGCCATATTGAAAAACGCATTTTGGCCCATGACCCAGGAGTCAGAATGTGTATCAAATATCTGATTTGATCATGCAGTAAATGAGAACAATATACTCATCGGAGGAAATAAGTGAACAGTTCTGACATGTGTTGAGCAGGCAGTTTATGAAGTGAAAATTATTAAAATTAAGATTTTTTGTTTCTCAGTAACACCCACTCCTATAATTGACCCAACCCAAAATATCTTTTTTGGTTTTAAGAAACAACTTTTTATACTCAAATTTCGTTTTGGCACTTGATTCCAACTTTTTGCATGCACCATGCAATGGCGACCATGGACACCCTATTCAGTCAGTTTTAAAAAGTATCATGAGGAACATGAATGAAAAAAGGATTTTTTTAGCTGACCTTGACATTATTCAGCAATATGGCTCAACGGTTCCTTTAGATATACCATCTGTGTATGTTGTAGGTTTTTTCAAATGTAATTGATATCTACATTGATGCAATTTTGATGTATATGCATGATAGGAAATTTTCAAGTTGTTACAAATGTGATCGCTTCCGATACTTTTGCAAGTTCACAAGAACCAATGTTGCACCTTGGTCATTCATTCCAGGGGTCCGCAGTTCTGATAACCTTCCTTATAAGGGAACTCCATTCAGTTTGGAAAACACCCTTTTTTTAATGACTAGCAGCTCACGTGTTGGTCAGCTTGTCCAATGCAGAAGCCAGAAAACGGCAAACGACTGAAACTTTGATCTTCTTATCAGTAATTCTTTTCATAATTGCAATTGAAATTTTGAAAGATGATTTATTTTGAAAATTGGTAATATGACATCTGCCAGAATTGGTGCATTTACTGGGATGCAATCCACCATCTTTCTCTGGGTCATTGGGGAAATAATTGCGGGATACCCACGATCGTGCAGATGTGGTGCATCACTTATTGTAGCTGTTGATCATCCTAATCTTCAGTTTCCAGAAACAGGTGTGATTTTACCTTCCAATGACAGCTGCACCTTCGCCAACACTTATGCATAAAACAATGTCGTTCCTCATTGAGAAATATGCAACATTCAGGCGAGCCGATGTACACGCCTTTATCATGTTCTTGTCATTACAGTACCTACAGAGAAAAGAGTTGTTAAGTATCAAGATAGACTAATTTTTCCATAGATAGACCTAGGAATTGATAGACCTGTTTGTTGAAATGTGTGATTTATTTATGATTTAGTTAACATTCCATGGTTTTATTTTGTAGTTTAGTATTTATTACGGTATATGACATAATAAGCGCTCAGGGCACTCTTAAAATAAGAAATAGGAATTAGAAATAGAATTTTGGTGAATAAAAAACAAAACAGAGTTGAAAGATCGTAAATTTCGTCGTTTATGCTGACAGCCTGAATGATACAAAAGAAAAGTCTGTGCGTATTATACACGAAAAACATATTTATCAGAATTGAATTGCTTGTAGTTAAGGTAGCATATAACACACAAATGTGTATTATACATGAATAAATAAGTCTTGTGTACATTGATCAATCAGAAGAGGTGCCAATTGGGATTGTTCACCAGCCAGTATAGTAGCAAATATTGCTGTGGGCGCTTATTAGAGCGGGGCGCTTATTACGTCGAATACCGTATCCTATTGTGGAGTGAATATTTTCATCTGGTTGATATTTGAAATTCCTCTATCCTGTCAGTTGAGGAGAGTGACAATGGCACCTCCAATATATCCCCTGAGAACAGGTACTGTAAATAGAAGGAAATATGTGTGCCTTACCATTTCTGTATACAATGTATAATAGTCAAGTGTTTGCTGAACAACTCTGTCAAATTTATCACTGCTTGTTATAAAATCATGCCTCCAAATGGAGTTAGGAAAGTTTAAAGGGGAAGTGTACACGCAAAAATCACTTTCTTTCTTTTTCTAAACAAAACGCAATTTTAGAATTAATTAGTATCTGTGTTTGAAAATATACACTCATTTTTTTCACAGTGAAAGTAGGAAGCTCACAATAGTGTGAAAATGATATGCCGTTATGAGGCCTTCGTTTTTCGAGCTAAACAGGCCTGAGTTATCCCCCTTAGATTATGACGTAATTGGTGCCAATTCAACTGGGTCCCTGTCTATTCTCAACGCAAAAGATATCAAGTACCAGTTTGCGGTAAAACAACATGGCCTACGACACACTCCGGCGCAGTGGTGACTCAGCATAACACTATGCTGGCTGGCATCTGAGACGCTAGAATCACACACCTAGACCTACACCACGTGAAGCGGCTCTAACAAAGCATGATGACGTCGTAATGTTTATCAATTGGCACCAATGACGTCATATTGCAAGGGGCATAAGCCATGGTGTTTTTGTTGTGGAAATAGAACACTTGGTAAATGTGAAAAATATAAATCGTTTTAATGCGAAAAATATGTTAATTAATTGTGATATTTTTATATTTTTGTCTATGACACTTCTAGGTTAACACTTTTAATGTGGAAAAAGTACAAGAAAAATTGGTTCATTTCCGTGTGAACTTGCCCTTTAAGGTACCGTATATGACCCCGTAGATAAGCCGAGGTGTTAATTTGACCATTGAAATACGAAAGAAAATGATATGACCCGCAGATAAGCCGAATCAGGAATTGAAAGACAAAAAACACTGCGAAGTCGGACTGAAAGACATGTGCCGGTACTCGCAGATATTCAAAAATATAAGATGAAAAACGTAATTATATTGAAAAAGTCATTATTATTTCTAATAAAGATTTAACAAACCAGTCATCCACTTTCATAATGTGGGAAGCTGTTTCTCGTGGGGGTTTTTAATCGTGGTATGGTTTAACAGTCTTCTCTTAATGTTTTCAGTTGTTTCACTTTTTAAACTTATTTTGTTTAAGTGTAGAAAGTTCAATAACATTTATTTCATGACTTTCTGTTAATACGCAAAATGATTTGGCCGGTAATACACTGGGTTATTTATTGTGCTGAGGGCAAGTGTGTGAAACTTCTTCTTGACCCATTATCATCAACCCAGAATAAGTTGACTGTAACTACCATTCTCGTCTTTTTCCCCTTCTAAATATCAGGGAGGCCATGGGTTGCCAAGTCGTCCAAGGCTCTGCAATTCTGTGTAGAATTGCCTCCCTTGGGCACGCCAAACACCTATTACTGGGTTCGAATCCTGCTTTGCCCTGATTGTTTCTAGGTTTGTCAGCACCATACCCGTGCTCATGGGTTTCACCAAAGTGGTAAATGTCTGAGACCTGCATCACTTCGGGCCTTCCTCCCACATGAGCTGACACGGTGCGACATAACTGGAATACTGTTAAAAGCAGCATAACTCCACTCACAAAAAGAAGGTCATCTATCAATCTTAACAATAAGTTACTATATTCCTATATATTTTTTCCAATTTTGGAATATATGCTGTTTCTATGTCATAACCAAGCCTAAGAAAAGTAGATTATCAGATGTTGGTTATAAGTTGTTACTTTAGAACAGCAGCCATACTTATTTAATCACCCACAGAAAACATTGAGACGTGATTCCTACTGAGGGAGTAGCAGAGAGCATCATTTGCCGTGTTTTTTCAAGGTTGTGAAATGATATGTTGTTTTGAGAAAACACCTCACAGAATTATCGTATTAATTTTCCCAATTTGTGTCTTTTTCTCCAAATTTGAGTGAAGCTTGTGAAATTGTTCTGGAAGGCAATGTGGATTCAGTGCAAGGTTCCGGCGATCATAGAGCCATAACTATTGTAGTTCCCATACTTTTAACATTGGATTACAACAGTGGAAGTGCTAAGGATAAGTTTTGAAACTGAGGCCTGATTGTTATTTCAACACAGTAGTAGGTGAGGTGAAATTGGGTTTAACGTCGCGTCCAAGATTATTGCACTTATAAAGCGACGTTCAACACAGTAGTAGATACAGGTAACACTATTGTATTGACAAGTAGATAGTAGATACAGGTAACACGATTGTATTGACAAGTAGATGGTAGATACAGGTAACATTGTATTGAGGTTAATATCTTTTTTTTATGTGAAAAAAAACCCTCTCACAAGATAGCTTTAACCAGCAATAGCAGTGATCTGTTCCAAGTTCCAGTAGATCGAATAGCAGTATTTGACCAAAACATGTTGTATAATCAGCCCACAGCCTTTTGAACCATACAAGTATGTGTAGGTACACTGCAGATGTTGGATGAGCTAGTGGTTAACAATGCTGACTTCATGAAACATATGTCAATGTATGTGAGGTGTTGTACTTCTCACTCTCTCGGACTGGCTTGAAGCGAAGATTAGAACAGGAGAAAGTAGAAATTATGTTAGAAGTAATTAGGAAAAAAGAATTCGAAATTGAATTTAAGACACCAGATAGAATTGTCACACCTGTGGAGCAGGATTTGTCTTGTGTTGCAGTTACACCACAAATTATTGTGCGATTGAATATCATTTGACTTGATAATTCAGAGTGTATTGGCTGTTCATTAAGCATCCAGGGAGCAATTCGTCTCACGGAAGCTCAACACAGGTATTGTCTTATATAACTACTGCTAATGGTGGTCTATTTGTATTTACAGTCGGATGGAAAATGAGCCCATCAACCCATTTTAAAAAAAAATATGTAAATAAAAGTCTATTTTATAAACTGTTTTATATATTCATTCGAACACAGCAGTTTATCTTAGTACTGACAATTCTACCTATCATTGTACATATTTCTTGAACCATTTCAAATAAAACACTTTATCACTACGCTGTGTGTACTGTGTGTATATTGGCTCAGTGTTGTGTTTGTTGTTTAACGCCGCACTCAGCAATATTCCAACTATATGACGACGGTCCGTAAATAATCAAGTCTGGACCAGACAATCCAATGATTGACATCATGAGCATCGATAGACGCAATTGGGATACGATGACATGCATCAACCAAGTCGGCATGCCTGACCACCCGATCCCGTTAGTTGCTTCTTACGACAACCAAAGTAGACCATTCACAGCAAGCATGGATTGCAGAAGACCTATTCTACCCCGGATCTTCACGGGGTCGTTTGAATGGAAACGAATCTTCACGGGTTCGTCTGATTGGAAACGAATAGGGCAACATTGTTACCTTTTTCTTAAGAATGAGTATATTTCCATAGACGAGGACGTTGTTGAAGAGGAAGAACATCATGAGCATCGATCGACACAATTGGGATACAATGACATGCTTCAAGCAAGTCGGCGAGTCTGACCACCTGATCCCATTAGTCGCCTGACAAGCATGGGTTGCGCGAGATCTATTCTGACCTGGATCTTCGGCCCAAAGTACTACAATATTAACCTCAGCAGGACAATATTCTTTGTGATCAGATATTTACACTCAACAAAAAATAAAAGTATATATACATTAAGAACACTTGTCTTATGGTGTTAGGATTCTTCTGGCTGGTTTGTTCACCATAAGTCTGAAGGTCGAGGAGTAAACACAAACTTTCAGGTCGTAAAATCATAAACAAGCTGTGATATAAATGAAATACTTTTTAAAGTAACGTTAAACATAACTTGCTCGCAGTGTAAAGGCAGACACTGAAAGACTTTCCTCATAACATGTCAAAGTCATCAAGCTTTTTTAACTTGATGTTATCCACAAGCCTTCTGCAAGGGTATGGTATTGAAAAGCATGAGGATGACACATGGAAAGGAACCCGTTATCAGTGGATCCTGATCTGACTAAGGTATACAACTCTGCACAGCTAATTGTGCCTCAGGCAGAGGGTGTATTCACAGGCAACAAAGTATGGCTTTAACTGAGAATGTTTAATGATGCGTCAAGTTGAAAGACATTACAGAATCATCATACAGACATTTTTCAGTCACAATATGTACAGTTGTAGCACTATTGCCAAAATATTCTGACAAGAGGAAAAAAGAATAGAGAGAAATGTTGCTTCTTCATGCTTAACATGGCCCTTCCTTTGGGACAAGTTTTCACCATATTTTTATTTCACAATAATTCCAGAACAAATTCATTATAAGAATTTCATTATTAGCTGTCACATTATCAAATACCCACCTCACAGTTTATTACCCCAGATACCTACAGACATATCATTTTCATAAATTTGTTTGTTATTTAATGCCGAACTCATGAATATATTCAGGCTTCATGTATTGTGGCCTAAAAATATTCAAGTCTGGTCCAGACAATCCTGTGATTGATATTTTGAACAAGGATCCACGCCATTGCAGCATGATGACTCGCAGGTCACAGAGCCTGACTACCCAATCCATTTTGTCGCCACCGACGACCATTTCCATTTCTAACCTGGAATCACAGAAGGGTCTTTTCCTAATGACATCTTGGAAGAAAGGGGTTCAGGACATGAAAGTGTATGTAACACACATATTGTTTTTAGATGACCAGAAAACACTGAGTTGACATGTCACTGAGATGTTCATCATGATCAAAGATTTAGGAAGTTGAGGGAACCAAAACATGACAGTGAATCTTGGCTACAAAGTATACAATTCATAAAGAGTTTAAAGAACACTCGATCCTTTCATATAACTACAGTTAATCTATCATGGCAGAAATATGAAAAAATGACAATGCATTGTTTCCCTGGCCTTGAAACCATGTGATGAATCGGAGGCTGGTAATAATGGCTTTTTCGTGTTCTGCTCTGATTCAGTTAAAGAAAAGTCAAACCACATCACTGCCTTGTAATAAACTTGAAGCAAAATTCTATGTAACGGCCCTGTTACACAACAACGTATAGCAGTAACGTATGGCGTTGTATGAGAATTTTTGCCTAAACGCCGGCAACGCTGAAACACGCTATGGACAAGTTAGGTTGTATACGTTAAAAGCATGCCGGTATACATGCACAAAATTTTCGGCGTATGGGAACTGTGAAATATACATTAGGCATACATTAGAAGTATGCTCTACATACGTTACCTATAGGGCCCGTTTTAGGCACCTGCCCCCTACGCTGAGCGTGCCAGTCATAGATTGATCATACGCTGTGCATACGCTGGGCATACGTTGAACACGCCAGACACACGCTGGCAATATGCTTTTATACGCTGTCATAAGTTATGTGTAAGTGATATGCTACTAATACGTTACATATATGGTGAACTCTCGTTGTGTTTTCACTATGGATTCGCCAAAATCATGTTTTTTTTATGAAAGCTCGACATATGACAGCGTACTGTCTTTTACACGCTAGGTGCAAGTTACTCTAAAACGCAGTGTGACAGGGCCATAACTGTCCGTTAATATTATGAGATGAATGAGCTTTCACATCCTCCTGAAAGTCTGAGCCCCCCCCTCAAATAACTCCATGGACATCGAGTTGTTGAGTGGCTCCCCTTTAACTTGAAACGGTTGAGCACAAAGTAGCGGTTTGATATTTTCAGTCAGTTGAGTGTCCTGTCTAGCTCGGCTTGATGCGCTTGTTTGTGACGTCTGACATAGCTGAGGGCCGTTTTAGACCCGAGGAAACATTGTCTGAGGCATCTTTTCCTTTTCCAATTGAACTGTTGGTGTTCTCAGGTTCTTTCAGTATGTCCTCCGATACGACAGGCTGGAATACAAAACAAAATCCAAAGATAGCAATTGTTTCTTAAGCTATGGTTCCAGGAAACAACATTTTTTCGGCATATAGCAGCATTAGAAATTGGCACTAGTCCTGTAGTCCTTGCCAAACTGCCCAATCAAGGTATCATAAGAACAAGTAGGTTTAGCAAGGGTTTAGCTATATGTTCTCATTATAGGACTAGTGGGCTGAAACTGTTAGTCTCTACCACTGATATCGCTTATACATATTTATTTCTAATAAAAAAGAGAGCTACCAGTCTCACCCTCGTGTCTTGATATCAAATATATCAACAGCCTTAGAGTTTTTCCACTTTTACTCGTGTTGATTTATTTGATATCAAAGGACAAATGGGCGAGATTCTCTATATATATCCCTGCAATGTATTTTGTGAGAACAGATTACTATTCTCATTACCTGAACTTTGGGTAATGCTTTCGAGTTGGGGGGGGGGGGGGGGAGAGGTAGGGAATAAAGAACTCATTGTCTCCATCCACAATGCTTTCACCCCTCTATACAGCTAATAGTTTAGAAATATATTGTGGGCACAGAAAGTCAGAATCGCTACCTTAGTTTTCTGCATGGCATGTTTTTCTGTCCATTCCTTAGCCCTGGCGTTATACAGTGCTCTGTTGTATTTGAACTCGTTGGACTGAAATGAAATAACATGATATTTTTCATCTCAGTAATTCACTTTGAAATCATTTATCATGCTTAAAGTTTGAGAACAGAATCCAACCAGCTGAATGATTGAGATTTGATCTACACCACTTTGAACAGTATTTCAGTTATATCACAAGGTGTCAGCTTGACGTGGGAGTATTTCAGTTATATCATTAGGTGTCGGTTTGACGGAGTATTTCAGTTTCAAACCTAGAAGTGATTCGAACCCACAATCTTGGGTTCTGTCATGCCCAGGGCCAATTGCACAAAGCGATCTTAGCGCTAAGACTATCACAAGCCTATGTTAAGACACCTGAGAGTACAGGAATGACACAGACAAAGCCAGGATCAAAATCCTGTTAATACGGGCTTGAACTATCGATGAGTTGATGTAGACAAAACTAAGGAACACAAATTTGCACAGCAAAGGCACCTAAAGCAACCCATTCCTCAGATTTAAAATGGCCATGATCAACTTCGAAAACAATATTGTTCTGTCATTTAGAGTAAGGTAACAAAGAAACTCATTCTGGAACAGACAGGCAACGATCAGCAACTACGGTATATATACACCATCTTTTATGCAGGGTAACCCTGTTTAACCAGACACCTAATTTCAATAAATGTCTGGATAATGGAGCTTGAGTGGAGTAAGGTACAGGTTTCTTTTACACACTTCAGTTCAATTACAGAAACTCGATGACAATATGAGGCACTGTCTCTACATTCATTGACTGCGATTCATCATATAATGGCGAGTGCCGGGGTAGATTTAGTGCATGAAGCCAGCATGACTTGCTCCTTTTGAAAGTAACTGGCCTTTCTCCGAACTGTCCTAAAACTAAATGGTGGAAGAGGCGAAGTGGCCGAACCTGAGGTCACGTAGCCACCTAGCAGGACTCCTCACCCCTAAAACGTTTTTCCTGCACTTTAGGTTAAATCTTTCTTCCATTTGCCTCATTCCATAGAGATTTATGAAAGATGTTGTTGTACACAAAACAAAATGGTGGCCGGTTGTCATTCTACCGAGATGATCCAATTAAGAAAATGAAACATACATGGAGAAGGGGTGAAATGTTGACAACATGGGCGGGCCATCTACTTTACGTTTCAGCAAGCCTTTAATAATTTTAGCTGACCATGGACCAATGGGCCAGCAGTTAAATCGACCCCTGTAGTGTTACCGGGGCAACCAACCAATCCATAAACCTACAAATGAGGTCACCTTGCAGGAACTACTTGTCTACATCGTCTAGTTGCCTTGGTTTAGAAAGTTTGTTGTTGGATAAAAATTCCCAAAGTTTGAGGGGTGGAATGGGTGTGTGTTTTTACAGTTCACATCAATAAATCACAGCTGTTATTGCAGGGTGTGTTTGTTGGGTGGATCTGTCTGAGTTAAAGAATTAAGTTTCATCTGACATCAACATTTGAAGTGCTCCCCAATTGGGGTAGAGGTTTTGCCTGCAGTGTTGACGTACGATATCTGTCATGAGGGGGTCTTCGGGATTCGGCTCGGCCATTAGCAGCTGCAGGGACGTCAGCACGGTTCCGACATTCAAACACGGCTTCCACGCCCCCTGAAACAGTTCAGCATTCGTTAAACACCTCAAACTTTACACTTCTACAGCAGTAAATACAAAGGCAAAGATACATGAGGATGACAAACTGAAGTTCAAAATAAAACCAGGATTAAACTGGTTACATCATGAATGTGAGTGAGTGAGTTGGGTTTAACGCTGCTTTTAACAGTATTACAGTTATATCGCGGCATGTCAGCTTAATGTGGGAGGAAAGCCCGAAGAGATGCAGGTCTCAGAAGTTTATCACTTTGGTGAAACCCACGAGCACGGGTATGGTGCTGACAAACCTAGAAACATAATCGGGGTGAACCAGGATTCGAACCAACAATCACAGGTTTCTGGCATGCCCAAGGGACGCAACTCAGCACAGCTAATAGCGGCGCCTTAGACGACTGGGCCACCCATGCCCCTACATCATCATGAAATGTAGAGATGAACCGATTGCCAGAGTCTACCGTAATTAGTGTTAGACCTCGATGGAATTAGATACACAAAGACAAGTATTTACACAACACTTTTCTATGTTCAAGATATATAATGGTTGCTTAGCATTTACAAAATATTCCAGAAAGCACATTATTCTTAGAAACATATTTACAGGGGATGGCAGTTTTAGGTAAAATTCATAGATATTTTCACCTTTGGGGGCATTTTCAGCGTATCCAGGCAAATTCGTCCACCGTTGTCAATGTTGGGATGATATATAGGAGTCACATAGCGTACCTTGGGGGGTTCAAATGGATACCTGTAAAAGATAATACTATGACTGACGCCATCTCTCTACGGTTACATGTACAGTGTATTAAGGTCATCTAAACATGATAGGTGGGCTGAGCTTACTACGCGTTTGATTCCAAATTCAACTTAGCACGGTTAAACTTAAATACACAGGTAACCTAGCTCTACATTGAAAACACAGTATGTTTATCTCCTAATTACCATGATCAATGGACTAGGGTACACATTCATATTGATAGGGTTCTGCTGACAAGGTAGGCTGGTATCATTCGACGATGAGAAAACAAACTATTGCATCCTATGGATATGCATAAAACTGAGAAACACTCTGCTCCATTGAGATATACGATCACTAATACCAATCACTAATACTCATTTTTTTTTAAACTGTCCTCTATTATATAAACATGCTAGATAACAAACAACAATATTTAAAGTTATACCTTTCAGGAATCTGGATTTCCAATTTGAATATTCCACCTTCATATGGAGTGCCTTCACCACCAACAATCTCTGGAAATAAATCATATTTGTTATATTAGTGTTATATCAAATTCATGTAGACATTTTTGACAATTTTATGCTGACTCTAAAATTATCTTGGGAACGTTAAAATGGCATTAACATTACATCAAATGTTATATTTGACCATGACCTTCCTATTAAACGTTATCTTGAAATCTAAATGGAGTACAAATAAATAAAACAGCAAAAACAACAAAGTACAAGTAACAAGGTCAGAAATATTCAATAGGCCCTTTCATCTTAGCAAATTAGCAATTTGAAACAAGTACCGTCGGATCACAGGTTTTCGAACGTCATGTTTTCGGACGGCCATGTTTATCGGGATTACGCGAAATTTAATGGTGTGTGTGTAGTGTATGTATGTAGCATCACACAGACGTTGTAAATACCCAGATGATGCCTTGCTAGGTAAAAATAAAATTGAATGAGATGTTTTACAATTGTTCATGTAGAGAGAAAACATATCATTCTCAGGATGTTATTTGGTAGGACCAGTCACAAATTTATTGTCAATTTCTCACATAGATCTACATCTTGATACATGTAGAGTGTCTTCTCTTAATTTCTCGAATGTAACGGGATTGACGTAAACATATGGACTCTTACAGTCATACAGATACAGGGTAAATAAATATCACTACAATCCTCAAATCCTGAAGCCTTCAGTGAAGGGAAGATGGATGATATCTCTATTTGTAACTAACGTGCTTCTAGATGATCTATTTTATCATCTTTAGGCCAGCATGATATGCCGTGAGGTGGTGATTCCGACATCATCTGAATTTCTCGCTTCATGCGCACATTCCGTTGCATTGTTGTCGTTGTTTACTGGTAATAATCTGAAAATTCTTTCGCACTTCCCGCCGAATGCCGAAAACTGGCACGACTTTGCTCCATGCAGCGAATACAGGCTTCGGGTTTCACCATTGGGTTAGCATCGTGTGGTAGCACGCACAGTCTCAAAGCTTATGACTAACTACGTAAAAAACAAACAATCAAATCATATCCTAAAAGATATAGACTATATTCTAATATTAAACTAGACAGTGAATACTAAGATAATTCCTTTTCTACAGACAAAGGGGCTACGTTTGCATTTGCGATTGTTATCCCCTGTTCTTTTTACGACATTTAGCGTGGTTGATGGCAGCTGTCAGAAGACTCCATGTGTATTGCGGCACGTTTCAAGTTTTAAACAGTCATCTTCAACTAATCTACAAAAGACGAGGGGAATATTTCTCCGAAGGCGAGTTTCGATGTTGGTCAACTTGAGTTGATTTTTAATTTGATCTTCACGTGAAGGAGGGAATTTTCAGTTCCGACTTCTTGAAAATGAAAATGTTTATCTGAATCAAGCCATCATGGCAGAATCAGAAGACACGAAAGTGAAATCTATACATTCTGACACTGGGGTCAATGTTATCTTTGTAAACAAAACACAGAGACGTGTTGATTTGTTTTGGATTGACTTCCAAGGCAGGTTGGTGAGATACAAGCAGGGACTGAAGCCAGACAAGAAGCATGCGATATACACGTATGAGACACATCCATGGATTGCCCGAGACGCATGCACAGGCTCATCTCTCCTCATCAAGAAAGATTTCATCTACTCTCCTAAAGCAGATCCTGACGTTCAAGTCCAGCAAATTGTCATCACATTACCAGGTAATACCGTATTCAACGTAATAAGCGCCCCGCACTAATAACGCCCACGACGATATTTGCTGATATATTGGCTGGTGAACAAACCCAATTAGCACCCTCCCGTAGATCAATGTACACAAGACTTATTTATTCGCGTATAATACACACTCATGTGTTATATGCACCCTTAATTATAGGCAATTAAATTCTGGGAAAATATATCTGTCGTACATAAACATTTCAGGCTGTCACCATAAACCACGAAATTTATCTTTCAACTCTGTCTTTTTTCACCAAAATAATATTCTAATAAGAGCCCCCTATTTCTAATTTTGAGAGCGACCTGGGCGCTTATTATGTCGAATATGTTACTTAATAAGTGTACTGGTCACCGACCAGTTATCGCCATTTTTTTCATGTTATTTCTGACATATTCCTTGTACAATGTTGACTGTAACAATAACTTTAATTTTTGTAAAACTTTGAGCAAACGTGCTTATTCTTGTCCGTTGGAATAAGATTCAGTTGATTTCTGTTATAACGCTACGATAGGGAATCAAAACAGTCGAAATAGAACTTTTCCGTCAACTGACTGTACCAGTTATTGCCATCGTCTTAACAGGACATGCCACATGATCAGGCACAACGCTTCACTCAATTTTTTTATTCATCAAAATGAATATGAAATGCAATTATCAATTTGTTGTCTGCAAACTGACAAAAACCAATATTCCCCAAATTCAATCTACAAATGCTTATCCTTAACACTGTGTACTATATGGATTTCGCATTATGTACAGGTTATGCATTTTTTTAAATATAGTTCAAATAGGTTTCAGAATTGTATTTTGGGGAAGAAATGACAGACAGAAAGCAATGACAGCACTGAAATTGCATCATTGTGTTGTTTGATTTATATTTTCTTGTGAATTCGTCACATGACACTACCTGCGAGTCTTTTCTAAAGTTGTATTTGAGCAAAGTGATTATCATGATGATGGGTTTTTAAAAAAATATTTCCTCACAAGAGTCCGTCTTGTTCATCATTTTCAGATAAATATCTCTCTCTTCTAATGAAAACGAACAAAAGTAACATGAGATGCAATCACATGTGCGCTATTACGGGGAGTTGGCGATAATTGGTCCTCGGCGATATCTCTAGCCAGTACAGTTAAACCAGATGATGGGGTAGCCTAGCCTAAGGGTCAGAACAATTACTTGTCAAAAGCCCAGGTTCAATGCTCCACAATGGTTCAATGCATGAAGTCCATTTCTAGTGGACCACTTCATATTATTGCTGGAATATTATTAAAACCATACTCCCTTTCACTAATTTATGTGTACAATAAATGCAAGACAATTTCTGTCATTTTACTCTGAAGAAGTTGATTGTTGCTCATGTTATCAGTCACTGGTTTGCCTGTCCCAGACCTTTTGATTACATCGACATAATAAGCGCCCAGGGTGCTCTCAAAATTAGAAATAGAGGCTCTTATTAGAATATTATTTTGATGAAAAATACAGAGCTGAAAGATAAATTTCCTGGTTTATGTTGACAGCCTGAAATGTTTATATACGACAGATATATTTTTCCAGAATTAAACTGCCCATAATTAAGGGTGCATATAACACAAGAGTGGGTATTTTACATGAATAAATAAGTCTTGTGTAAATTGATCAATCGGAAGGGGTGTTAATTGGGATCGTTCACTAGCCAATATATTAGCAAATATCGCTGTGGGTGCTTATTATGTCGAATACAGTGTATGTACATGCTGTTGTCATAGGGCTGACTTGTACGTAAGAATTCTTGACTACTGTACATGTAGTACAAAAAGTCATCCCTGACAATAGTAACAGAAATCAATGTACCTCCATTAGATTAAAGAAAACTAAGAATTTTGACAAATACCAGTACTACTTTTTAGGGCATTCCAAACCTTTTAAAAAAAGTATGGAATATCGAAAAATTTAAAAGAAACCTTTGTTGTTTGGTAATGTCTGTATCATGTGTATAATAACAAGTCTTGTTTGATTTCAGTGTTCAGGCTTATTGACAGGTGTGTGGACTTATTGCGCTTCTATGGCATCAGGCATCAAGCAGATTCCCTAAGCATTCCAGTTATACTCATAAAGGATCTCAAGAAGAATCCTCACCTCCCGTGTCGTGAATATAAGGGTCAGTAGTTCCTAACATCGCTGTCAGGGATCGTCTGTCATCACCTGGAGCCGCCATGAAAATTCGCCTGGAGCAGGCATGAAGACTTCGAAATTGCATTTAGGACAAGTAAAAATCCAATGATGGTAGTCCAGTCATCTAAGTAGTGTTAGACGAGTCATCTAAGGTTCAGAAACCTATAATCGTGGTTTCAAATCCTGGTTCACGGTTAGGTTTCTTGGTTTGTCAGCACCATACCCGTGCTTGTGTAATACCACAGTGGCAAACCTCTAAGACTTGCATCACTTGGCGCTTTCCTCCCACATGAGACCACCTCCGTGGTCTAGTGGTAGAGCGTCTGCCTGGAGAGCGAAAGGTCCGGGGTTCGATGCCCGGCCGTGCCATACCAAAGACATTTAAAGATGGTACTTGTTGTTACCCTGTCTGGCGCTTGGAATTAAGGGGCTAAAACAAGGACTGCTCGGCTCGGAGTCATTATACTGTGTCTGAGTGGGATATTCATGTTAAACTGCGGCATGGTATCTCAGTGTGCTAGCACTATAAATCAGCATCAGTCCGGACTAATACAAGCAGCCACACACAAACACGCAGGTGCATGCACGTCGCTATAAAAGTGCAATAATCTTGGACGCGTCGTTAAACCCAAATTCACCTCACCTCCTCCTCCCACATGAAGCTGACACCATGATATACCTGGAAGTTAGTTCAGAGTGGCGTTGTACCCAACTCACTCACAAACTCACTCACTCGCTCGCAACCTTGGTGTTTCATAGCAGCTGTGATCATTCTGAAGGAGATGCAAGATGTTTATAATGAGCATAGGTATTTCTGTATCCTCAATCGAGACTATTGACTAGACATTTATGAAGTCACAACATTGATAAGTTATTTCAAGCATCGTTTGAAGATAACCAATCTGCAGTACTTCAAAGTCTTGTATGTACTACAAGCCTCTGTCATACGTGAATGCATATGCAGTGTAACAGATATTTTCAACTATCAGATCAAGCAAAGACATTGTTCCAGTGTAGGGTGGGGTTACATCACCAGACAAGCAGTACCGGGTACTTGTGTTCACATGACTCTTTTTTATGGATAGCAACTTCTTTTTATTATTTGTACAAAGTTTCAGAGGTACTTCTTGCTCCTTCATCAGGTGAATGCTTAGAAAGTGCATAGTGTACTATATGTATATATGTGTTGATGTTTATGGAACAAAATGTGGGATGAATGTACAAAGATAACAATATAATGACAAAGCCGATGGTATAGGACAATGTACAAAGATAACAATATAATGACAAAGCTGATGGGATAGGACAATGTACAAAGATAACAATATAATGACAAAGTCGATGGGATAGGACAATGTACAAAGATAACAATATAATGACTCAGCCGATGGGATAGGACAATGTACAAAGATAACAATGTAATGACAAAGTCGATGGGATAGGATTACTGTACAAAGATAACAATATACTGACTTAGTGAGTGAGTAGGGGTTAACGCCGCTTTTAGCAATACTCCAGCAATATCACGGCGGGGGACACCAGAAATGGGCTTCACACATTGTACCCATGTCGGGAATCAAACCCGGGTCTTCTGCGTGACGAGCGAACACTAGGCTACCCGACCGTCCCTTTATGACAAAGTGGATGGGATAGGATGAAGATAGTACTTGTGTTCCTCATGTTACAACCTGTGCTGCTAGATGTAGTTTATGACCCTGAAGATCCGGGGTAGAACAGGTCTTTAGCAGCCAATGCTTGCCATAACAGGTGACTATGCTAGTCGTAAGAGGCGACTGACGGGATCGGGTGGTCAGGCTTGCTGACTTGGTTGATGCATGTCATTGTATCCCACCTGCGTATATCAATGCTCATGATATCAATCACTGGATTGTCTGGTCCAGACTCGATTATTGACAGACTGCCATCATATAGCTGGAATATAGCCGAGTGCTGCGTTAAACAACAAACAAACTAAGAAACACGTAGTTTACACCAAGTTGATGACTCTTGGGTGGAGATATGGCCTGGCACACCATCCTTCACTTCGTTAAGTTGACTTCATGGAATGTAGCTCATGTACAGGAGAGTACAAGCTTTCATACAAGAAATACTTATGACTGAGAGCAAGAAAATGTCCACGGTACCCATCGAGAGCCCACACGAATTTGTACAGCAGTCATTTACTGATATGTGATAAGTGTGTTTTTTTTTATTATTTGACAAATGTTCAAACATCACACATCAGTTTGTAAACAAGAAAATATTGCTTTATGTGGTTCATTACTGGCCAACAGTTTGCACTACTTCAAAAACATGTTTGCAAACAGTTTCAATTTTCACATGTTGTCGATGTGAAGCTGCTTTTATATTAATTTTTTTCTCTCAAAACTTGAGGTCGCTGGTCGAGAAAAAAAAGAAAGAAAAAACCCAGCTCATTCAATCTTTTTTGTCTTTTGTGTAACCATACAGTCAGTGGATATTATGAAAAATCATAATACAATGTCATGTTTGCCCTGATCTTGAACAATAATTTACACATGCTGTTATGGTGAGCTTCATATCTTGTGTCAGGACAGGCATGAAAAGAATTTGTGATATACATGTATGTTATTGCTAAATGAGGTTCTCAGATTCAGTGTTAATAAAGAAACTCAATTGCATGTCTTTTCCTTCTAATTTCCTGACTTTTTGAGGTTGGCAGATTCATGAACTGATTAATAAACAAATGACTTACTGAATAACAGCAGTTTCGTTAAAAAGCCTTATAAGCAATCTAATTTGGATTTAAATGTCAAGATTCTGCTCTTGTGTCTGTTGATAGCATCAATTTCAAGAAACTGTTAACAGGATTACAGTTCAATCATGTAATCCCAATCTTTTGTTTGCTGAATCCATGAATTTATGCAGTGTCCTGGTGTTGCAGAATCAGGAACATTATCAGATTATTATGGGATACAGAAACTGTGACACTGAAGTTTGCTTTCCAGAAAGAAAAAACACCTCTATAATTTCAGTTACCCCATAGAGGCACAGCAAATTTTGTGTATTTGTCTGTTATGTTTGTTCAGAGTGAGTATAGTTTCACATCGCCTTAAGCAATATCTGAGCACTATGACAAATTGACCATGGGGACACATTATACCCTTGTCGGGAATCGAACCCAGACCCTTGGTCGCACGAGCAAACACTTTAACCACCAGACTATCACAGAGATACTTTTTAGTAACAGTTACAGGGACCGAGGTCAAATTAAGATTGTTATAATGTCAGGATTCACCTGGGTCTATCTGTTTCCAGACCAGTGAAATCCATGTTAGAATAGGTCTTCAGCAACCCATGCTTGTCTTAAGAGGCGACCAATGTGAGCAGGTGGTCCGGCTCGCTGACTCGGTTGATATAAAATCCACGCAATTGGGATACGATGATATGCATCAACCAAGACAGCATTACCACCCGATCCCGTTAGTCGCCTCTAACGACAAGCATGGGTTGCTGAAGACTATTCTACCCCGAAACTTCACGTGTCCCTTCGAAGATACTCCCTTTTGGGTGTAGATACCATGTGCGAAGGAACAGGATGTACAACATATACTCAACACCAAAAGAAACACGAAACCATTGAAACAGATAAGTATGTGCGTTAAGAAGAGACGTTTCAATTAATGACAAAACAACAATCGGTCAAGTGTTACCACAGAGTGTCTTTATTTTTTATCACGATATGCTACACATGATTTCCAAACTTTCCAGCAAATTCTGCACAGACAAATGGTGCATCTCGAGACATGGATCTATGACGTCACATGTGATGCGTTCAGGAGTATTGGTTCACAGCATTGGTTCACACAAGAGTATGTTCGTTTGTGCATCCAACGAATCTAATATCTCTTGAATATGAGTAATACTTCATATATTAATCAACATGTATGGTATTCGCGTTTCTTTTGACAGTGAGTATATTAACAAAATAATGGCGCCGCCGTACACTTTCTACTTTCAGAACTTGTCGTTTAAGTTCGATTTCGAGATACAGACAGATATGCATATGTGAATGGTTCGCTCACTCGTGCCTAGAAGATTAGAACATTCGTCTGACGTGACGCAGAGACGTATCAGATCAGAGTGAAAGATCGGACTTCTATTAGATTGCTCTCGGTAATAAACTTCGGGCGACTCAGGCTTGCTACCTGTGACACATGTTTTGATTCACAAGGTTATTTTGATGCGGGCCCAACTTTGCAATCTCAAAGAAATGCTGTCACATCCAGTCACCGCGTTCTGAGACGAACGCCTCATGGACCAAGTAATGAAGCCCCTCCCCAAATCTGCCGCGCGGGGCTGTGTCTTGACAAAATTGACTTTCTATATATTAACAGAAGTATTGGCAAAATCAAAACAAGGGAATTTGATCAAGAGGTTTAACCAAAGCTTAAGGTATGGTCAATTAGGGTCATATTACCATGCACTTCCACTGATTTTCCTACCTTAACTAGCAATAAAGGAAACCAGTGAAACTGCCCCATATGTTTCATATTTAGATCTATGCATAGGGGCGGTCGGGTAGCCTAGTGGTTAAAGCGTTCGCTCGTCAAGCCGAAGACCCGGGTTCGATTCCCGACATGGGTACAATGTGTGAAGCCCATTTCTGGTGTCCCCCGCCGTGATATTGGTGGAATATTGCTAAACGCGGCGTAAAACCATACTCACTCACTAGATCTATGCATAAAGGTTGTTTAAGAGACAAAAAACTATCCACAAAACTGTAAAAAAAGAGGGATGACTTGATCTTCCCCTTTATTCCAGAAGATCCAGCCTTAGGTGTCCACATTTCACAGTTGTTGTGGTACAATCGAGCATGCCCTGTCTACGATTCTTCCAAAGAGCGCCATACGACTCATGCTCCAAAGTTGTTTAATCAGGGTTACAGAATTCAAGGTCTTACTGAAGCATTTCAAAAGTTTTGTGGTAGACATGCGGAGAACATTTCCAAATTTGACTCATCTGTGACTAAAATGATGTTTGATGCAATTCCCTATATTTTCTTGTACTATATTCCCGGGGTTTCTTTCCGGTGAACAATTGACTTGCCTTTGCATGTGTTTGTGCTACCGGTGGGGCAGCATCCATGATTCAACTGTGATGAAGCAAAATGACTCTCCACATAGATACCCAGTAGGAATAAGTGATCATATCCAAGGATGATAATAAATATTCACAAAACAATCAAAAGTTATAAGAAGGGTATTCTATATTTAACCCAGTGGTTAAAGCGTTCGCTCGTCACGCCGAAGACCCGGGTTCGATTCCCGAGATGGGTATTATATGTGGAGCCGTGATATTGCTGGAATATTGCT